TCAATGTTTCTTCTAACTTCTTCGGAAACATACAATGACCTGACTAGAACAGAGAGCTTACTAAAGCTATGTTCACTAATTGTAGTAAGTAGACAGGATACAGACGAAGGGTATACAAAACCCTTTATTTTTTTCTTTATATACAATGACTTCCGTACTTCGGAATACAATGACCCTCCACTCGGGGTCTAACTTAAAAGATATCAAAATAAAACTAAACTCTAATTTAACTTTAGAATAAGATTGGCCTTATAATAACAGGAAGCGTATGTAGCACAGAGACTGTGAACACTACAATACGTTTAATTTATCAAGAGGATTAAAACCTCTGGCCTGGAAGGCAAAGTAGCAACTGCGTAACTTCTAAGGTAAGCGGCCTGCTTCGAACTCACGGCTTCCTCTCTCTGCTTGGCAAAAAGGCCACACTTAAATACTTGGCGTTCGCCAGACAACTTTGCATAAACTCCTTCACGCTTATAATTCTGGCCGGAAGTAGAAAATAAGAAGTGATAGTAAAGATTTAAAATAAAATAAACGTTAGTAAAACTTAAGATCCTTACATACTATCTAAAACAGCATTGATTGAAAGAAACCTAAATGGAAACATAAAGCATCACATAAAAGGAAATCCCATATGAACATCTTCACTTAAAAAGTTAATTAACTTTATAAAAAGTGGCATACCGTGGTTTGCCTTTTGAAAGTTTCAAGCTCTTTTTAAACGCATCAATGGATTTCCATAGCTTCAACACATTTTCCTCTTCTTTTGGAAAATCAATATATTCTGGAACTGCCTCAGCCATGACTATACTGCTACGGAAATGAAAACAACAGAAATAAAACAAAATTTTTAACTTTCATTTGTGTAATATCAGTTTATAAAAGCATAATTTTTATTTTATTTGGCAATACTTATTTACAAGTTATTTGTTTCAAAAACCTTTTGAATTGCTTATGTTTTCATCTGTAATAGCACAGCCACTTCATCTTTACAACCAGTTTATCATGGGCCTTATATTGTCAAACACCGAGCACCAAAGTATTTTGACAATGAAATTAGTGGAACTGTCAAAATTTCAACTAATAGACTGAAACCATGTTTTCAACAAAAGGCAAAGATGAACAGCTTCTTGAAAGCCACAGGCACATGGATTATCCAGATCTGCACCCACAGTGCTAACCTTGGAGGAAAATTTCACCACCGGTTGATCACAATCATACCACACACAATGGAAGGACTGTCAGGTTTCGACCCCATTTAAAGAATTATGTCTCCTAATCATTTTCACTAGAAAGGGAGTGTGTAGCATCCTCTCTGTTTCCTCTTCATCCTATCTTTAATTTCTATACGTTTTAATTTTCGTAAGATGGCAACAAACGAAAGACTGCTTGAAACATAAACATTCATTGGAACTTCATTTGCAAAAGGCATTGTCATTTGTTTCAATCCCGTTTTCTCGTCAATAAAATTGTTTAAAGAAGTTTGTTCTTTATAGTATATTAATAGTACTTAAGATTTTATTCAACGAACTTCAGATGCATAACACTATCAACTTTTAATGTGGGATAAATTTTACTTATTGTGGACAAGTAAGTTGGAAGTTGCATATGCAGGCTGCAATTTTTACACCATTTATTGATGCTAGAAAAATAGTAAGAAGTCTTTCACTAAAAAATCAAATAAGCAGTATTCTCCTAATGGGCGATCTACCTTACTTCGGATCAATAGGTGTCGCCACTAAAATTGTTGTTTTTACACATTTTTTATTCCATCATTTTATCACATGTTAAAAATGAAAGTTTGGTTTTTTTTTTTTTTTTTTTTTTTTTTTTTTTTTTTTTTTTTTTTTTTAAATTTAGATTAGCTGCTTTAAGTATTTTGATGAATTCCTTGATATTAATATAACTGAAAATATGAGCCCCCAAATGTTATGGATATAGATTATATCAAGAGTTTCGTGCATATACTGATTGAAACAGGTAAGCGGTACTACAAAAACAGCCGATTTCGTACCACTATATTTAGTTGTTTCAAAAATCTATTTACAATTTGTTGTGAGCAGAGTGTTGAAAGAAGAGAGACTGAATTTAAGAAGGATAAATTAAACACTATTGCTGCTAAAAATAACACTTAATTCAACTGCTTCTAATGCAAACGTGAAATTTATTTGTAAATTGCCAAAAAAGATTCGAAGACATCATTTTGCTGCTAAAAATAACACTTAATTCAACTGTTTCTAATGCAAACGTGAAATTTATTTGTAAATTGCCAAAAAAATATTCGAAGACATCATTTTAAAACCTCTTCGCAAATTCAATACGAAAATTTCACATGAAAGCAACATTGCCTTTGCAAATATGTTTCAAAGATAGGTGGCGCCATCTATTATAAAATTAATTAACTAACAAAATTCCGTAGATTGCCAGTTGGGACAATACCAAATAAGCTTTATAATTGCAATTTACAATGCAATCCAAAAGCCACAAAATTTCAGCTTTCAACTCTGACAAAGAAACGACATGTGCGCATAAAAGGTAAAGCCGCTGTTGAGGTTAATTTACAAATTTGCTTAAGAATTTTGAAGTACTTGATGAAGAATTTTGTTTTACAAGATTTGAAGTTTTTCTTTGAGTGTAAGAAATAATGGGCCAGGTAGGAATGGAATAAATTATCAATGGTCTGATCATGTTTAGGTAAAGCTTCCTCTCAAAATTCTTAATTATATTTTGTTGATATAGGAAAATTTCTAATCTGTTATTTGTCACCTGCTTAAAAACATTTGATAAATTAGAAAGAAGACTGACTGGGTGATGCCTGCCAGGTAATTTCAGTTCCTTTCCAGATTTCTTAAATAAAATAATGACAAGTTTCCACTTTCTTAGATATTTAGAAACTACTGAAAATTTGATATTTTTTGCAGGCAACACTCCTGCAAAAAATATCAAATTTTCAGTCCATTAAATATTTTTAAGACCACCAGTAAATTTGTTATGTGTTTCATTTCTATATTATAGGCCAGGAGTCGTATTTTCAGTCAATTATCTCACTCCATTGTTATTAGTGTTGTCATACTTGGCAATTTCCTGAATTTTGAGATTATTAACGATATGTGAGACTTCTTCCTGATAAAAAGAACTTTTACTTGATAACAGAAATTAAGTTTAAAACAAAATCTTTCACTGCTTTCAAGTTTTCTTTATCACTGACATTATCATTAGTTTAAATATTTTTAAGACCATCAGTAAATTTGTTATGTGTTTCATTTCTATATTATAGGCCAGGAGTCGTATTTTATAATTTTAGAAGGAACACACTGCTCTTGCAAGACCAAACTACCATCTTATCTGTTAATATTTCCTGCGCATGTGCGTTGTATTTGAAGCAGGATAAATATCTGAAGCAAATAAGATACGTATAAAATTTCCTTGCTAGAATGCACAGAGAAAAATATGCAACTACCATATACCTTTTATATGAACTACTAAATGTAAAATAACATAAAAGTATTTAAATTAGAAAAGATGTAATTTACTTATGTAAACATGTGAAAGTACATATTATTTTAAGTGAACTGTGAGAAAATGTTCCAATTTCCATTAAAATAAAATATAACTTCACATATGCAACTTATAAAAGTACCGACTCAATATGCTTTGAAAGAAAAACATACCTCATCTATAATTATGATTGGTTGGTTTAAATATGACACAAATCAGATATGCTTATATTACAATAGATATTGGACTAACTACTCAGAATCTATAATTACAGGTCTCAAGTTGTTTTACCATAATGTATAAACAGAAATTAGTACTAAGAAGATCATTACTCAAAAATAAGTGATTGGTCACATAAATAATAAAAACTTTTACTGAAGAAGATAAACAGAACATAAAAAACTGAGTAAATGTACCTACAGATAATTCATATATAAGAAAACTGAATGCTATTAAAGGTGATACTGTGGTAGAGTCAATTATTTAGAGCTATTTAAAATGAAAATGTCTTTTAAAGGTTAGCTGATATTTAATAAAAACAGAACAAAAGAAGAACTCTTAATGCAATCGTTTTTTAATATCCCAAAAGCATTAAAAAAGCTGAAAAAAATGTTATACTTCGAACACAAATAAATTTCCATATGCCAAATATTATGTGCGATAGGTAAAATAAAGCAGACTCCAAATCATGAAATCTCTACTACTAGTAACTGCGGCAGAATATTAGAATAATATTACAATTAGTTTAAATAACTCTTCCAGGTTGTACGAAAATTGAATAGTTCCCCCACCTTTTTATATATGACAATTTTCACCGAGGTGACAGTTATTATGAGGTAAAAGGTATAAAAGTTAGTTTATTTACATAAATGAAAAGTATTTGCAGTGATTCATACGTCAAATCAAGAAAACTTACTTAACATGCAACCAGGAACCACGTTTTACAGCCGCTGAAAGACCATCATCCGCAGCTTCTTTGCTTAATAATTCAGTTGGGTAATTTAGGACTGTTAACGTAAAGCAAATACACTCTTGCATCATTTTCCGGGGGCGGAATCATATAATTTAATTTGATGAGAGACAATAGTACAAAATTATAGCTTATAGTACAAAATGCACAAAACATTTTAAGCATTTATTAAACATGTAAATATGAAATTAAAATTGAAACTACAACTTTCATCTCAATGTTTTCACTTTCCTTTGATTTACGTCATGTTCGTGTTCAGTATGAAGATTTGACACGTCGGATTTTTAATTTTTAATGTAACACTCTGCTAATAAATAATGGAAAGTACAGGTAAAAATAATAGTAATAATAACTGATCATTAAAATTTTCACCAGTCAATAATTTTTAAACGTAATTTTAACGTTAATGACTGAAATTTTGTGTGAAGATCTTAACACAGATTTTGTGTGAAAATCTACATTATTATACAGTGTTACAAATTAAATGTAATGTTTTGTATCCTGGTCATATTATGCTTACACCTTTTTCACACGTCACACAATTCTAAAATAGTATTATTGTTTTCATCTGCATTATTTCTTTGTTTGAATAATAGAGAAGGAGTGTTAATTGCCAGTGCTTTTATTTGTTTGTGAAGTAGAATCATATAATAAGGTTCCGAAAGTCATGTGTTTTGAAAGTTTAGTTTTGAAATATTCGTTTAAAAAATTACATAAAATCCTAAAGAATGTATTTGTCAGTTAAACCCCTGTAAACACTGAACGTTCTGTTTATTTTTAAGTAGTATCGAAATGTTGTAGCCGAGCGGTAAAGTATCTAAATGCATCTTCGCGTATACAGCAAGCTTATGAGTTTCGTATAGTAACTTTAAAAATTGAGAATAAACCCAACGTTTTATTGATAAATGTAATTTTCGAAACAACTGCTATAATTTTTTAAACAAATAAATAACTGCTAATGAGTAAAAATATGTTTTTATTTCATACACTGAATGAATAATTTCATTTTTGAGAATAACACAAAAAATTTAAAGAAAAATACTTTAAAATAGAACTACATACAGCATTTAAACTAAATAGTAACAGAGTTTTACTTTGGACAATTGAGAATACACTTTAATAAATGAGGAAGTGTCAATATTTTGTTAATACCTGTTAGCCTTTATTATTGCTTCCAGGCGCCATGGCTTAGACTCAACTAAGTTTTCAGATGTATCAGAAAATATTTCATCTATTCGTCTTTCAGAATACATTTCAAATTATCTTTGCTTCTTATTTTATCAATAGATGATAGATTTTAAATGACACTGATGTCTGGGGACAGGGTAAGAGTATGAAGTTACTTCTTACAGTGATGAAGATACCACATTTTTACATTATGCACCTTATGCTTATGTAAGTCGTTGCCTTGCTTAAATATGAAATTTTTACCTAAGTGTTAATTAATAGCACTTTCTTGTATATTCTTTGTGAGCATACCTAAAAACATGATGTGGTCCATAATACTGTTGCATGCATATGGTTTTGTAATAGATTGAATGCCCAACTCCTGTAATAGGTTAATAAAAATTTATTCATATCAAAAGAAATATATCAGAATGCTTGAATTTTTGTGGCAGACATTTTGATTCGGCAAGAGAGAGAGGTACAACTGAAATGTCCGTACCTGTATCAACAAGAAAGCGCCTACCTGACAATTTATCAGTTATAAATAATCGACTAATGCATTGGCCACTGCCACTTGTGGCTTCGAGGGACAGCCCACTCTGTTTAAAGAGGTTTGTTGGAATGTGCATGGAGGCTTACACTTGCTCGATTTATTACCAAATCGCGAGTGATAGAAACAAATTTCTTTTTGCTCACAGGACTGTGTGCATTGGTAGTTCCTATTATATTTCTTGTGGCTGGAGAACATTATGAATTTTGTCTGCCATCTGGGCCAAATGGGATAGATTCTCTTTATTAGTGGCTGGAAAAGCCTGGATATTGTTCGGGAGACGGTTGAGCCACAATGATTGTAAAACATGTGATTTAAAATTGTCACCTGAAGTTCCTGCATTTTTGACAATAACTGGGATGGGCACATATCGCCAACTTGCAAATCCTGCAACAGCTGAGATGTACATCGAGATGAAATGAGTACATCAAGATGAAATACTACAATTAGTAAGGACTTAAAAGCCGAATAAAATAAAAACATCTGCCCTGAAGATAAGGATAGTGCTGACAGATCAACTTGCAGTTCATTGCGCGCTGCGACGCCGACCCCCCCCCCCCACACAACACCACAGAGCAGCGTGAAATTTATAAACAGATTTCGGGATGGCTAAAAAACAAAGCATATGCCTTTACCCATTTTTTGAAGCAATTTCACTTTTTGTTTAATGGACATCGAAACATGCTTTCGCTTTGTAGATCCTTTGGCAGCTCCAGAATCAAAAACTCGACATAATCGAAAGTTCAAGGTTAATTTTTATAAAATTGCTCTAACAGTCTGCAAAAAATAATAAGCCGGATCCAATTCGAAGATTAAGGAACAACGCAATCATCAACATTAACTGAAATAGATAATTAGATAATTTAAGCTTAGCTTATACCGTCCGTTATACATTAAACACGCACACATAAACGTATTATGTGCATGCGTAAATGCATATGCGCATGCGTAAAGATATTATGCGCAATGCGTTTATACATGGGCAGAAAGTTTGTAGCTTTGAGGTCTGGATTATGGACGTCCGGATTAAAGACTTTTGACTGTACTATTAATTTTGTGGAAATAACTGGTACAAAATATCACAAAACACCTTCGTTTCACAAAAATTATCCAGTCGCACATTGCTGTATGCTTATCAATGAATATGTTAAAGTAATCCAATAAGCACAATAACACAAAAATATTCACTGAGATGCATTATCACCAAACACTATAATAGAAGAAATTATCCTCTTTCCTTGATATTGCTCTTATTTGTTCCGATTTAAAAAAGCACGTTCATTGGTCACCATTTGTTGCATTGTACTGAGTGTGACAATAAATATCTGCAGAGGCCTGGCCAGGTTTCACTGTATGATGAACCACACACATAGAGATGGTTGATTTTAAATAACAAATACTTATTTACAGCAATTATGACATAACTACTCATTACTTTAGCACTAAAGACATTTGCATCAGAGAACAAAATGTGACCAAGTGCGACAGAGCGTGAAGTGATTTTAGTGCATCCTAAAAATCTCCGTTACAATTACAGCTAAAGATTTGGACACGCAGTTGGCAAGTAACAGAAACAAGTTCCTTTAGTATTGCCACACTAGCAACTTGTTTTAAATTTTATTTAAACAGTAAATAATGCAGTTTTTGTTCCCCAACCCAGCAGTAGCACTTGATATACATCATTCGCCAGAGTGAAAACACTCAATGCGAATACACAAGGAGAAACAACTAACCAAAAACATACAAAAAGTAAGTAGAAATATCTAATAGTGAACCATAAATAAACAAACATATCAAACAAAGGTTAATAGTCTATAAGACTTGCAACTATTCTCTAGCCTTCCAATATCTATCGTAAATATTTCCTGACACAGCTGGATATACTCCGAGATGCACAGCGTCCATCACATGGTCGTTGCTGCATAAGATACAGTTTGGGGTGGACAATATTCTGAATCTGTGCAGGTAACTAGCAAGGCAGTCATAGTCTGTTTCTAGCCTAAATGCAGCAACAGCATGCCATCTAGGTAAATCAAGAATCCCTTCAAGAGTCTCTTTCCAAGTTTTATCAGTAATAAGTTCAGATAATTTTGTCTGGTAGTTTTTATTAAAATAATTTTTTATTGTTCTATTTATTGAAACGTGTTGGATCTCTGTTTGTATGGATTGCAGAATATCTGTGCCTTTCTTTATAAGAAGGTCAGCCATCTCATTTATGTATATATCACAATGTGAAGGTATCCATTGCAATACAATATTCTTTTTCAAGGTTAACAGTAACCCAAAATTCTCCTTACAACAAGTCTCTGAGTCTTTATAATCCAGAAATGAAATTGCTTGGATTGCTGAGACAAAATTAGAGAGTATCATGCCATTCACAAAGTCTTCTAGTCTTGTCAATAGTTGCTGGCTGGCCAATCTAATAGCTTCAATTTCACCATCAAATGGTATGGTATTTGGCCCTAAAGTTATATAGAATGCAAATATTTCTGAAAATATCTCAGTGCCTGCATTTTCCCTTTAGTCCAGCTGAGATCTGTCAGTATACACATGTAACCATTCAGGCCGAGGATATCTGGTGTTTATAGTTTTTAAAAAGACACAATTAAAACTGAATCAGGAACATCTCTCTTCCATACCACTTGAGTAAGATCAACTCTGCTCTTCACAAGGGGAATTAAAGGATTAATTGGAGGAGGTAAAATTTCCAAGCTGTCCAGTATGTCAATTTCATTTTTAAATTTCATAACTTTTTGTATAAATCCTTGTGTTTTTTGTCCTCTGTTTTGATTGTAACTATAATTTTTCCAGAAACAATTTGATGGTAATCGAACTAACACAACTTTCTGCTGTATAATTTCTTCAATAGGCTTATTTTTGGTAATTAGCTGTAGAACATTTATTGGGGATGTCTTAACTGCCCTCACAATTAATCTTAGAACATGGTTTTGGGCAGTGTCCAGGTCTGTCATTAGATTATTACTACAAGTTACGAGTAATTCACAGCAATTAGTCAAGACAGGTTTGATAATCATATATGTCAGGTTAAGGGTATCTCTACTACAGCCCCATTGAACTCAGCTAATCTTCTCAAAACTAGCAATTTCTCTCTTACATTTCTTGTGATCTGCTCTATATCTTCTCGGCAATTCAACTTTTTATCAAAAGTTAAAGCCTAGATATTTCATACTCTGAGACTCGCACATAAAGAAATCTTTATATTCTAAATTCATTATAGTTCTTTGTTGATTTAGTATAAATGTTTGATATCATGTTTTTTCAATGTTAACTTCCATGTCGTTATCATCACATCACTTAGAAAGATTCCTCAATGCATCATTCAATCTATTGATATTTTTTCTTATGAATACTTGATGATCAGATAACCAAGTCATCAGCATATAGGAAATAGCCTATATTCTGAGTATTATGAATAATTTGAGGTAAGTCATTAATCAAAACAGCTTAAACAACATACATTGAGAAAACTCTAATAAAACAAATAAATAAATGTGGATTTTATTATTATTATTTTTTTTATTTTAATTCCCTTAAGGTCATAGATGCTCCATTATTTCATAAACAACTGTTTCATATTTTTAATTTATAACTTCAACATGTGATCTTTGCTAGATTTAAACTCATGATCTAAAAATCTGAATATTTCTAAAATTCAGAATCATCAAATTCCCAACAGTTTCAGATCTCAGATTTTCCTCTATATTTGAATTTCTTAATATTTATTTCTGTTTCTCACCCATTTCAGCTTATTAAAGTTCCATTGTATATAGCTATAATAATTGTTTTTTAGAATAGGAGAATGACTGAAAGTATGCCATATTTCTTTATACATTATACATATAAATTTTAATGGCTCATTAAATAATTTTTTTGTTCTCTTTTGTAGGCAAAACAAGACTTTTAATACAGGGTCGATCTGCAGGTGATGGAATGGAAAACACATCTTTCACAGAAAAAAATTATTTAAAATTTGAAAAATCAAATAAGAATCAAAATTTGCTTCCGGATTTCTATTCTAAAAATTTTACCTCTCCAGGGAAACGTAAAGAGCCCAAGTTTATACCTTATGAGCCTTATAAAGCTGCTGTGTCTTCCATAATTCCTAGCCCAAATAAACATGAAAAAATTGTTCCACCAAAAGTTTTGGTTAATTCTCAACAAGAAAAAATTTTTCCACCAGAGATTGTTATAGATTCTCAGAAAGTTAGTTCTCTGGCATCTAGTATAATACAGCATAATTCAAAGAAACTGTATTCCACTTCAGAAGAAAAATATGTTTCATCAGAGCATGTGGAAACATCGGCAGATGAGAAAAAGTGCTCTTCCAGTTGTAATTTGAAAATAAGTGCTTTAGAAAAACAAGTTAAACAACTTGAAAAAGAAAAGAAGGAACTCGAATCTCAGTTTCGAATACAGACAGAGGTAAGCAAAATAATTTTTGGTTTAACATAACTTTCTAAGTATCTTTTTCACCAGCTGAAGTGAGAAAAGATTTTCAGTGTTGATTTGTAGGAATAGATTGTAAATTTAAAAAAGAAGGGGGAAATTTTTCTTCAGTGTGGTTCTATTATTGAATAACAGCATAAAAATGTATAAAGTCACTTTTTTTAAAGAATTTTATATTTTTTTTATTTTCTTTCTTTATTTCTTTATAACAACTGTGTACATGGCAAGTTGTTCATGAAGGAACCCAAGATATGCCATAATGAATGCTGAATGCAGACATCATTATTAAACTTTGCTTGAAGATAAACTAAGATGTATACACAGCATTTCTGAAGGAATCTACTGAATGATATTGCACAGCATCTTTCTTTATTTCAGTAATATGGTATGAATACACCTGTGGCATATAAGTCACTGTAACATACATAAGTCACAGAGATCTGTATATAACTTAAATGGTTGGAGATGAAATTCACAAGATCTGAAGATCAAGATGTTCATTAATACTTCATTTTTGCCTGAAGTTAAGAATAAGAGAAGCAGTATGAGGTGATGCTCCACACCACATGAATGTCATAAAATCCATAACTTGTCATTCTTCCTTGTAGAAAATTGTTATTTAATAGTAAGTCATGTTACTAGATTCTGATAATATTCAGATTTCAGCTTTATATTGATATTTAACATACATATATATATATATATATGGACTATATATACCTTAGTATTATGCTGTTATATAATTATAATCATTTCCTAATTAGTAAATCAAGCATATAGTATACACTGCCATTTTTGGGAATACTATCTGTTTGTAATAAAAGGTTTTTGCCCAAAATGTTCTTAACAAAGTTAAGGGGGAAAAACATGAAAGCAGTACCTTTAATGCAGGTAGTAATCACCACTCAAATCTATGATTTTCTACCAATGTTTTGGTATTTTTTCAAAGCCTTTGGCCCAGAAACTTGGTGGGCACAAGTCCAAAAACAGATCAACATCTGTGCAGAATAGAAGATAGCACTAGCAAGATGTAACTGCAGGTGTGAAAAAAGGTACAAGTCCAAAGGAGCAGTATCGGGGCTATATTGTGGGTGTTTCAAAATATTCCATTCAAGTCCGTACAAAGTCCAGCCATTAAATGCAGGCACATGTGGTTTTGCATTATCTTGATGGAAGTTTTGCGGCAGAATTCAGCTGTATGTTTTTCCTTGATAGGAGCATCAACACAGACTAGTATTTCGCTGTACATTTTACTGTCGAGGGGTTTACCTTTTTCAAGATATTCTTTGTGGATAATACCATGGCAATCCCACCAGATACAAAGCATAATCTATTTGTTAGTCAAATTGTGCATTGCAGTGCTGCAGATGAGCTCACTGGACGCAGGCCAACCACATTTTTGGCTTATGTGCGAACTGTTTGCGCAGACAATATTTGCAGTGGTAAGAAACTTTTATTAAGCACTAATAATTAAAATAGTTATATGCTTAAAATATTTTTAAAGTGTTAATAATTTTGTATATTTCTATGCTAATTATATTACCATATAAAGGCAGTTAGCAGCTGTACCCTCTTTAGCATTTATATAAACGACTGATAACCAAGTTAAATAGTGTTAAAGGTATGTCTGTATATTCGCAGACGATGTTGTTATTTGGACAGAAGCAGAAGATATGAAGACCAAAGGAAAAACTGGTTAATCTTCAGATTATGGTAACATGGCGATTTTTTGGCAAAAATTTGGCGACCAACCCTGCTACAGCAACCTGCTAGTTTTTTTGTTTTATTTTGGACGCCATTTTGTTTTCACGAAGTATTTTCTTTTTTTTTTTACTTAACATTTTTTTTTCTAACAATCTGCTAGCCGAATTACGCTTATGCTAGAACTTTTATGGAACAAAAGAGCTTAATCATGACGAAGGTTAGGTGCGAATTGAACATACATGGTTACACGGTATCCATGTACACGTCGACCTATTTTCACTTTAAAAAAAAAAATCACAGAATTGCCCAAAATTGGCATTGTGCACACTCTTGACTTTATCCATGTACACTGCTAAAGTCCTAGCTAGTAACCTTTATCGCCTTACCAAAATGTCGCCAAACTACCTGTTACCATATTCCAAAGATTAGCCAAAAAATTTTAAATTATAATGAACTTGAAGTCCTACAGACCTGGTCTAAAGAGAGCAGTATTATTATAAATAAAAACAAAACAGTCTATCAGTTCTTCTGTCTGAGACACGTGAAGACAAAATTTGAATTAAAAGTAGATAACACTTCTATTCTAAAAAGCACTAGTACCACATATCTGAGTGTAGTGCTGAATTACAAATTTAACTTTACTAATCATGTGAGTACTGTTGGTATGCAAATAATGATGGACTGATGCCAATACCACAATAAACAGTATGAACTGGAAACCCTGCAAAGTAGTTAATTGTGTAACTCGTTTTACCTTAACGTATCTTTTCTCACTCCTTCAGGAAAGAAGAGTGATATGACACTCTCTATTATATAACATCCTTTTCAATATGTATTTGTGATACTAACAAATATTAATCTATTTTCATGTAAATAAAATGTGTTCCAGTTACGCAAGAGGAATCATTTTGTTCTCTACTTTTATTAATTTGTGTGAAATTTCAAGTCTATGACACCAGTACCACATATCTAGGTGTAGTGCTGGATAACAAATTAAACGGTGCTATTCGGTTTCGAGGGCCTTAAAAAATCACCAAATTATCGTTGATGCCAATGCTGCCAAAAAGAATTGCGGCAAGTAAGGAAGTATAATAGTAAATAACTATCTAAGATTGATGTTTTAATTTAGATGAAAGGTTAATTTCATATAATATTTTTTTATTATTATAATTTATATGAAAAAGGCTAAATGTGACTGAATGGAAGCATAAGAGTAAATAACTATTTCAGATCATTATTATAATTTATATAAAAATTGCTAAAAGTAACAGAATGGATGCCTGCATCGCTATTTCGCTACCGACTTATCGCTAAAGCATAATTTCATCTCGTTGGTTGTTCAGACGTAATTTTCTATAATGAATGATGCCTTTTCTTTGAAAATATTCTTGGTAAAGTGCAGAGTCGCTCACTTATTTGTTTACCGCTTTTTACAAGCCTAAAAATCATTGGATTTTTGTCAATTTTCTTTTACTTTTTAAGTGAAAATAGGTCGATGTGTACATAGATAAAGTCAAGGGTGTGCGCAGTGCCATTTTTGTGCAATTCTAGGATTTTTTTTTTTTTTTTAAGTGAAAATAGGTCGATGTGCACATGGATACCGAGTATGTGCAATTCTTAAAAACGTGTCAAGTAGTGGGTGATTCTGCACATTATCCAAAATTCTATTGCCGACTTTTTGTCATGGTTGATTCCCAAATTGTTAAATCCATAGGATATCAAAAAAGGATTTAAAAATTAAACTAGTATTTCAATGGCGTCTTAAGAAATATAGAACTATATAAACTTACGCAGTCTGAAATCAACGCGTACGCTAGATTTGGTGTGCTGTGAAATGGGCATGTTTGCTAGATTTGGCACTTTTGCACATACATTTTCGCTGCAATTTTTTTACGGCCCTCAAAACAGAATAGTACCAATTAAACTTTAGTAATCAAGTGAATAATGTTGTAGAAAAAGTAGAGAAAAGATCCTCAATTTTGAAAATACTAGCCAGTACCAAATGGGGAAGCTCACAGACTACCCTAAATAAAACTTATATTAAACTTGCTTTCAAATAAAAAATGGAAATTCAAATGGAAATGAAGTGTTAATCTCTGCTCAAAAGTTGCTTTGAGCTCAAAAGTGCTCAAAGCTTTTCAGATTATCGCAGGATTGGTGAAAACTACCCTGATTACAGCTATGCAAAGCTATACTTCCAACCTGCCAATTGCTACTGAAATCAAGAAACAAGCAGTTGGTACTTTCATTAAAATGACAGTATCGTATAGAGCGCAATGGATGAACAAATGCAAACTAAGTACCATGATATCCAAATGTCTCCTCAAGAGGCTTTTGAGAAATTATTACAAGAATAGATTAAAACAAGCCAGTGAATTGTAACAAGGTCATGGTTAATCCCCTTGAATATATCGATTATCAAATACCAGCTAGATATCAATGATTTGGGAAAAAAACATACCTGATGCAATATTAAAATCAATAACATTATGTATGTTATATACACTGATGGCTCTAAAATACAAGACAATACTGGGACTAGTATATACAGTAAACTTCCCTCCCTCCCCCCAATGTTTCTACTGTAGGACACTTCATGTCGAATTTTGATACAGAGATCCTTACAATCTGACTAGCTCTGGAAAAACTTAAGATAAAATTTTATTGTTTCTCTGAAGTAGCATCAGTGTATCTAATCGATTCCAAAGCAACCATCCAGGCTGTAGTTGTAAATCATGAAACAGATACCCAAATTGTCTCAGAAATAAAACAAACCTTGAACTTTCTTTATAAATACAACAAAACAATCATTTTTCAATGGATCCCTTCACATGTAGGTATTGGCGGTAACGAAAAGGCAGGCTTACTAGCCAAGAGAGGAGCACTTGAGGCATTTAAAAAGCATATTTTTGAGAAATTAATGGATACTCTGAAATCTGACCAGGCAGCAAAATCAAAATGCAAATTCTGGGCTAACATTCAAGACACATGGAAAAAATTTTGTCAAAAACCCTTTAAAGAGGCTGCGGTAAACTTCAGACTGCAAATGGCCACGATTGCATGGCACATCAATGTTAACAAAATTGGCATCCTTTCATCTAGTACATATAAGCCAAATTTGCAATTCAGGCATCATGAATGCAGAGCATCTTATATGCTCAGAACTAGATAAAAAAACCTCAGAAGTGTGATGAGATAAGTAAACTATACTGGAATGCCAGAGCTTTCATTAACTCCTTGTAAAGACTACATCTCTTATGTCTTTCCTTGTTGTTTAAGTTTTTAACAGTTTACTTTTGTTCCTATTTTCATTTATTCTGATTATATTTTTAAATATTTAAATGTTTGTTCTTTTTTATTATAAAACATTGTACTTGTGTGATACTTGAGCTGCTTTGTATGTTTGGATAGATCTTTCAAGTGCAAAAATTTTAAATATAGTTATCTCATAAAAAGTACAGCTTGTGAATTGGGCAGCATTTTTTTTTTTTTTTTTTTTTTTTTTTTTTTTTTTTTTGTTTGTTTGTTTGTTTGAAGATTTTTAGCACTGTTCTCAACAGTTTTGTTACCTACATCACTCCAATTAATTAAAAATTTGTTGCTTTTAGGTTTAGAGGCTATGGAGCAATTGACCGAGGTGCAACATGTTGTAACTTTGTAAACTCATTAAAAAACAGGACATACAATTTGTAAATTTCATGCAATCTTTATTCTTGTTTGAATTAAATAAATATTTTGAGTAGTTGTTTTAGTAGGGGCTATCTGCTAAAAATCCCATGAATCAACAGAATATTATTTTATGAAGATTTCTTGAATGTGGGATCTGACCTCATGATGATGACCAGAAATGGCATGCGAGGTCTTGTGACTTCACATCTTGAAATGTATTTTAATAGGAATATGTCAAGTCAAATGTTTATATAAACAAACGAAAAACAGTCCATAAACTCAAATTCAAGAGCAAAATTCCATTGGTAAAATCTATAAAGAAGTTTGTGAAAGGAGTTACTGTGAACTTCGCCAACAGAGTAATTGCCTGCCAGAAAAAGTGGAGGTGGATGTATGTCAGATATCCCATTTTACTATTAAATCAGAGTTTCTTTAGAAGGCAATAAAACAAAAATTTTGACCTTTTTTTTATACCATTTTGACTGATTTATTGCAAAACCTGTGCAATCTATGAGAATGTCCTATATTTACATCCATATATTATACATATATCCATATATTTACATCCATATATCCATATATTACTGACTTTCAGATCATTTTTGTATTTTATAAATTTGAAGGAACTGTCTGGCTACCATGAAATATAAAAATCAGGAATTTTACAGTATTGAATTTTTTATTTAATAATTTATTTCCAGTTTTATAAATTTTTATAATATTGAATTACAGTATCAGAATTATTATTTTTATAAAATAATTATGAATAAATTTGAGATTTAAATATTTCTTTATAAAATATATAGTAAATCGATACAATTCTGTTAATAGAGACCATGCAAAACAGCAGCAAAAATATTTGCACAAAAGTGCCAAATCTAGCAAATGCTCCTATTTAACTATACATGAATTTACATAGTTCTGCATTTTTAAGTGGCCATTAAAATACTGGTTTAATTCTATTTTGATAACACTGTGGATCAAACAATTTGGAAATTGCCTGATAATAGAAAGTCTGCTACAGAATTTTTAAGAAAAGGCATCATTCATCATAAAAAATTATGCTGGAACAACCAGAAGAAAAATTGTGTTTTACCGATAACACATTAGCGAAATGGCACGGTAGAAAAGAATCCAAGCATCCTATAATGAGAAAAAAGGATTAGGAGCTCAAAATTGCTTTGAAGGATCAAAAATCCTCTTCTTTACAGCCATGAGGTTCATCTGTTTTTGGTATCAGGAGATGACATACTATATTTAATTTTGTGAAGTCCATCTGAAGATGAACCACAATACAACTGTAGCCTGGAACAGTTAGTTACATGCATGAAGTGTGTGCCACAAATTTGATTGCTGAGCCTAAGTTAAAAATCAACAGATGTGACAAGATTATTGAAGAAGACAAAAGCCTTTTTGCTAGAAGAAAGAATAGTGTTGGACATGTTTTTCTGTTACAATGGGTTTTCGGTGGATTGTGCAGAGAATCAAGTGAATGTTTATAGTTGGTGTCCCAAATCAATCAGCGAAAACTTTATTGAGTTATATAAAAGAAAATATCACAGAAGAAAGCATTATCTATATTGATTGCTGGAAAGTATTTAAGTTGGATAAATTGTGAGAACATTTAACTGTCAGTGTGAGCCCAAAAATTTGGTGTCGTTCACAAACAATAGAGTGGCTGTGGGACAGTGCTAAATGGTGTAATAAACATCATTGGGGCACTGCTCAACAGCACTTAAATTATTATTTGTCTGAACTAATATGGTGATGTTTACACCAAAAAGAGAAAAATTTTCTCTGCAGTGTTGGAAGACATCAAAAATCTCATACCTCCCCATTTAATTTCAGTTATGTTTAGCCCTTTTTTATGAATTATAATATAATATGTATTATGTGAAATTAATCTTTTATCTTAATTAAAATAGTAATAGTATTATATAGTTATTTACTATTATGTTCCCTTTCTTGCCTTAGGGTTACCATAATTATTTTGGTCATCATTGGCATCAACAATAGTTTGGCAAATTTTATGGTCCCTGTAATAAAATTGTACCAATAAAAATTATGTATGCAGTAATATGTTTAGTTTCTCTTAAATATACATACTGTGTATTTCCATGTATAAAATAGAATTTTTGGGGACTTTTTCTAAATTTTTGGGGTAAATTATGTATGTATCCACTTATTTTGCTAACAAGCTTGGTACTTTCCTGTTAGCAGGGAACAAGTGATAAATCACTAGTTTAGCCCTTTTTTTACTTCTTTAATTTATAGTTATGAAGAAAAAATTAATTTTAAATTAGAATGAGTTATTCGTTTGTGAAAAAAAGTGTATTATTTTTTAAATTATTTACATTGCTGGTTTCTTGTAGCTTTGTCAAAACAACAACCCCCCCTCCAAATGAATGTTGGATTAATTTGCTATCAGCTAATGGAAAATGAATATGTGGCTACATTTTCGGATTTTGGCATTTCCACCAATTCAACACATGTTTTCCCCCTCCACTATCAGACATGTTTTTTGTTAGGAGAAATGCCATTCACAGCCATATTGTTGTTAGAATTTTCAGCAAACATTATCATCTGTAGTTCAGACTTGTTTTTTTGTTAGGAGAAATGCCATGCAGCCATACTGTTGTTAGAATTTTCAGCAAACATTATCATCTGTAGTTTGAAATTTGCCATTAAAAATTTTTCTTCCAGCTCATCCTTCACATAAAAAAGTAAAATGAAGCAGATAGACAGATTGTATACAAGAAAAAAATGAATTTAAGAAAATGTGCTAACTTCAGAAAACTATCATCATTGGTATTTGATATTTTAATTCACAAGGATTATAATATTTCACTCCTTTTATCTGTTTGGCAACAGTTTTGAATTTATCACGACATGTCCCCCTTTTTTGTCTTATACACAGGTTTTGAAATTTGAGTAAATTTTTTAAGAGAAAATGCATTATTGGCTTATACAGAGATCGGCTTATATTCGGAAATATATGGTAGTAAAATATTTCTTTTGAAAATGAAGTTGAAATGTTTTGCTGAAAATAACAATGTGATATTTTTATTTTTAAGTAAGAATACCTTTTACATATTTTTTCTCCTTTTTTTAATCTAACTAAATATAAAAATAATGAGCATGAAAAATTTTCTCACAATGTTAAATTATAAATTGTGCTCTTCAGGTTAATGCAGATTTAAAAAAGATGTTAATTGCCTCACTTGGGGAAGATATGCAGTTGAAAGTGCAATATATGACTGAAGATAAAGCAAGGCTTGGTATGAATGTTCTGCAGTTCTCTGAACAGCTTCAACAAAAAAATGAAGAAATTGATAGACTTTCTGTTGAGTGTGATGTTTGGAAAAGTAAATTTGAAGCCAGCAGGTAAGGAAAAAAGTTGTAAAAATTACACTGGTTATCATAAATTAAAGAAAAATCACGATTACTGAAAAAGTTACATGTAGAATTTAATGAAACTTACCCACAATATACAACACATAGTAAGGTATCAAATAACATAAAAAGAAATTATCAGACAAATATGGTAGTATAGAAATTAGCACGTGTATAAAATGAGCAAATCGAAGGTGTCAGTTTGCTATAGGAAAAATACCTTCAATATGGAATATGATCGCCTCTAGAAGCAATACAGCACATACAGCGATGTATGATTCTTTTAATTACGCAGTCTATCAGTTCCATAGGAAGCGAGAGTCATTACTCTTGCAAAGCAGTTGCAAGCGCGACAAGAATCTAAAGAGTGCAGATTGAGAGCAGCTAGACGTCTCTATAAAGCATCCCAAACATGCTCGATAGGATTCAAGTCCGGGGATCGAACTGGCTACTCCATGTGCATAATTGTTTCCTGTTGAAGATAATCATCTACGATGCGAGCCCTGTGTGGTCTTGCGTTGTCGACCTGTAAAAGGAAAGCATCACCTATTGCCCCGGCATATGGGCACACATAAACATCAAGGATGTCATCTCTATAAATCTGAGCATTCACGGTTCCCCTTGGAAAGACATGGAGGTCTGTGCGTTCAGCCAAAGAGATGCCACCCCAAACACAGACCCTGCCTCTTCCATATGCATCTCTTTCATGGATGATAACGGGTTGCAGATTCTCTCCATATCAAATAACACTTTCTATCGCTTTCTTAACTAAACCTGGACTCATCCATAAAGAGAACCGCTTTCCATTGATCAGGCATCCAGTGGATATGTTGTCGTGCCCACTGAAAAACGATTCCTCCAATGGCGTGACGTGAGCGGCACACAAATGGTTGGTCGCCTCTCATACAGACCACCTTCATGAAGCCTTCTATGCACAGTTGACGTTGACATGAACCTTCCAGTGGCTGCAGCAAGGGAGTATCTAAGAAGTCGGAGTAACGGTTTTATTCCTGCGTTCACATAATGTCAAATATTGGTCATCAGCGCTCGTCGTAGCAGTTGGCCATCCTTGGCTGAACCTACTAGATGCCTAATCTGTGGTTTGAAATTGCCTCCAAAGTCTATGAACCACAGAAGGGCTCACATTTAGCCATCTGGCCACTTCTGTTTGACTTTGTCCTGCCTTTAGTCTCCCAATGGCTCTCCATTGCAGTTCTGCATGCAAATGATGCCTGGAGGTCATTGTTACGAATTCGCTATCTCAGATTTTTTATGTCACTGTCACAGTGAAATATGTGGGCTTGCTCTCAAACAAGGACTTTTTTGCACCTCGCAGATGATATATTCCGAAAGCAGCGCCACTAATTTGCATATCGCAGTTTTACTCAGCTACTCTTACTTGGCAACATATTCAAATTTTACACGGTTTGGCTTATTTTGAGGGAGTTATCGCTATTTTTGTGATTTTTCCTTAATTTATGATAACCAGTGTAGATTTGTGATGTCCCTTCCTTCCTTAGCTCATGTCCTCCCAAACCATTTTGTACAGCTCGGAGTTTAATGTTTCCTCCCCTATCCCATTTTCCTAGATACCTGATTATGATATCCTTATTTAGATATACGGATAATTTTTCAATAAATGTAATATTTGATGCATAGGACCTGTTTATAAAATAAAGAGCATTTTTAATTGGATTAATAAAATTATTTTCTTTAAAACATGAGCAGTTTTTACAAATATACAACAAATGATAAAATAAGCATGATTTTTAATATTTGTTGTTTATAAACAACCTGTAATATATGCATTTTCTGCATAAGTAGAAAGAAAATAATTCAAAGATATGCAAGAATGTTGGTAAAGTTCAGAAATATGAAAATAAAAGAGGAAAATAAATTAATTATGAAAAGAGAAGTAACCACTGCATTGTACCCCCAAAATATTTTCTTTCAGGAGGAAATGGAAGATTCTCCAGATGGCTAAAAACTAGTGCATAATATTCTATATTTGCTATCCAGCAACATGATGCTTTCCCCCCTCCTTAATCTATGAAAAGAGAAATTAATTTAGAATCAAATTAAAGCAAATAATTTTAATTTGCACCATGCACCCCCTTTCATCATTGTTAGATCATACCCCCTCATTTCCCCAAGTGAAAGAGTACATATTAATTTATTTCTGTTTAGATTATTTTTAACATGTTTTTATAAATTAAACAACAAAAAGTTATAGAAAATGTTGATAAATACCAAAACTTTAATAAAATTAGTTTTTTATATTCATAAACTAAAGTTAAATACTGATTTCATTCTTCCCCTGAAAGTATGAAATTCCTCCTTAGTTGGGAACCCCTGCTCTAGACAAATGAAAGAAGTATAATAAAAGGCTGTTATGCATGTTTTTCTTACAAATGAATATTTTTAGATTTTAGCTTTAAATCGATATTTAACATGCATTTTTATGCATGTGGGTTATAGTTATATAATTTAATATTATGATTAGTTCTGTTATACAGTTATTATTATTATTTCATATAATTGGTGAATAAATGAAAATACTATAGGTTCTTATAATTTTTTTTTTTTTTTTTTTTTTCCTTATACGGTCAAAAGTCTTTAATGAACTGATGAAAATAAAATGATGCAGTTCAGGAATGCGTATGTAGTGGATGTGAAGCACTAAGTACATATAAGAAGCACGGAAGCACTAATTGATGTTAAGACCTGTGTTCAAATAATCTACAGCTTAAGAGATGCATAAGTAAAATAAAACTCACCCACTTGATGAATGCACACATATACAGTCAAAAGTCTTTAATCCGGACTCGTCATGACTTCGGCGATTCCGGATTATAGATCATCAGTTTAAATCTGGTAAGATGGCATGCAGAAATTATAAAATTAAAAATATTAAACCGTAATTTATGAAATACAGACCAATTATGATCTAAAGGTTATCAAAATTTAAAAAAAAGAGCTTAATATTTGTTTACTTTATTAAACATTTCTTTCAACGCGCACATGTGTAAAGCATACATTACGCATAGTCGAAATTAGAAAATTGCAACCAGAAAACTGTTTTATGTGTATTCGTGATATTTATAATGTTGAGGAAATTGATTTAAATTATATCGGAGTGCATCGAGATGAAACACTACATTTAGTGAGGAATTATAAGCCAAATAAAATAAAAATATCTGCCCTGAAGATGAGGATAGTGCTGACAATTTAACTTCCATTTCATTGCGTGCCACGATGCTTCCCCCCACCCCACCCCCACAGAGCAGCGTGAAATTTATAAACAGATTTCGGAATGGTTAGAGAAACAAATCACCCTCTCTGTCACTTTCTTCATGCCTTTATCCTTTTTTTTTTTTTTTTTTTTTTTTTTTTTTCAGCAATTCCACTTTTTGTTTAATGGACATCGAAACATGCTTTCGCTTTGTAGATCCTTTGGCAGCTCCAGAATTGGAAACTCTTTTTGACATAACCAAAAGTTCAAGCTTACTTTTTATGAAATTGCTCTAACAGTCTGCAAAAAATAATAAGCCGGATTCAATCAGAACAACGCAATCTGCAACATTAACTAAAATAGATAATTAGATAATTTTTATAAATTGGAAACTCTTTTTGACATAACCAAAAGTTCAAGCTTACTTTTTATGAAATTGCTCTAACAGTCTGCAAAAAATAATAAGCCGGATTCAATTCGAAGATAATAAGCCGGATTCAATCAGAACAACGCAATCTGCAACATTAACTAAAATAGATAATTAGATAATTTTAGCTTAGCTTATACCGTCTGTTATACATTAAATGCGCATGCATAAACGTATTATGTGCATGCGTAAACGCATTATGCATTTACTGTATAAAAGTCATTCTTCTCTCTGTTCAAATTTTTACATTTGTAATATCTCATTCTTATATACGGTAAAAGCACAACTATCTGGCATTCATCTAATCAGAAAGTTCGAGTAATCGGGATATTTTAGAAGTTTATGAACTTTTTCCCTGAAAAAATGAGCAACTAAGATATTTGTAAAACCATTATGTGCATGTATAGAGGACACTGTTGCCAAACAGTGTCAATTTAGTGTCAGTAATGGATAAACATGACATGATAATATGATCAGAAAATATTCACCTTAATTTTAGGTGAACTCAGTTTTTGATAAGCCAGTTTAATTTTAGTAAAGAAGGATATAAAATTAATTTTATTTTTTTTTTTTTTTTTTTTTTTTTTTTTTTTTTTTTTTTTTAAATTATTTAAAATTTGGGGGGCTGCTTTTTACGGAGGAGCATGCAGTAAAGTAATTTTTAAATTAGGAGATCCTGGCCTCTAGTGTATATTAATGGACAGAGCTAGATTAACTATTGAGCAAAATAAACCTGCCTTGGATATCAAAGAAAGGGAGCATCACAAAAAGGGGCTTAAGAATTCAAGGATAGAGTGTACTAAAAGAATTTTCCAATGCCAGTTTAACCAAGGAATGCATGGTGCAGCTAAAACAAAACCAAGAGAGATGGACTGTGTATTCAGATGTTGGAGGCACCAAAATCTTCTAAGTAATTTAAAGCTTTAATTTAGACATAGCACGATATATAATTTTATTCAAAAATGGTGGTGATACATCGTGAAAATTTATGGAAAATGTTTTAAGTTTTTTATATGCTTAAATCTGTAACTTGAATTCGTTGATTATGTAACTAAAGATGATCTGTTGCTTTAAACATCTGCCAGAATGAATGTGCTATTTTGGCAACATCTCGGACAGGTTTCATGATTGATGAGATTTCATAACTGATTAAAATGCTTTCCAAAATCATATATAATTTTTTATGTATGCTTTTGAAATCCACATTGATAACAAGTAAGATGATTATAATTTTAAACAAAGCTCAACTCTCTGGAATTTTCATGTATTCAGTATTTCCTGAATAGTCGAGCTTTTATTGTACTTACTTTTGTGTTCTTGCGTTTAATTAGGCCAGTAAATAAACACTTTTGATTACTTTTAATTGAAAACAGATATTAAATGTAATATGTAAATTACATATTTAAAAATTAATAAATTTGTTTCATGTTTTTTATAGCCTTATGGTAGATGATTTAGCTGGTTGGAAAGTAGCGTTAACTCGGAAGCTCAATGAAACTCTTCAAGCAATAAATTCAGTGTTCAAAGAACATGAAGTAATTTATGAGCAGTTGTATACAACTTACAGGTAGAATTAATTGGTATCAGTTATAATAAAAAAATTGTTTTTGTAATCAAACTGTTAAGAAAAATTTATTGGCTTTAATATTGTATAGTATTTGGCATGTATTATTATTTGAAAAATATGTAATAAAGTAATAAATTTCATGCTTCTACTTTTCCATTCTTTTAACAGTTGTAACAATTAATTACCCATATATTTATATGGTAAGTAAGAAAAATAATCTTGCGGAGAATATAAAATTTAAATAAAAAGGCACTTAAATAACTTGGTTTATTCTTCAAATAGTAACAGAAGATGTGCTTAATGTAACAAATTGCTAAATTTGGAAGACAAAGCATACTCAATCATTAACATGTTCAGTTACTATTCATAAAAATATATTTCGAGTTTACCAATATTTAGAAAAAACCAAACATTCTATATCTAGATGATAAAATTTGAATTTGGTAGATTGTAAAAATTTCTGGACTAATAAGGGGATTCATACCATGTGTTGTATTTAGAAATATAACCATGTGCAAATACACTCACTTCCAAAAGTTAAGCACGGAGAGGAAAATGCTAATTTCCAGAAGCTGATCAGAATTGAAGAGGATTCAATTCACTGCAGAGGTAGATGAAAGTATGCAAATATGTTAGGTAACAGCCAATCCCGCTTTCATGTCAAGAAATATGCAAAAAAGGCAGTCGTATAAGAAGCCAGCTTTATGAAGAGTTACAGAAGTCGATTGTAAGTGCTGATAGAAGGTGTTTAAAACTTTCGTACAATTTGTTTTCAAGACATACGTGTTTCTATGTTTTCCAGAAGACGAATGGAAGATTCTGAGCACTTGCATGCTGTGGGGCGCATTCAAACAGGACAGTAGATCACAGATGTTGCTCTTTTCTTCAGCGTTCATCATTCTGTAATTTCACGTTTATGGAAACAATTTCAAACCATACACACAGTTGTACAAAGACCAGTAGCCGGTCGACCAAGGGTTAAAACCCCCGTGGAAGATCGATATATTGCTATTGTAGCCAAGCGGAATCGCAGAGCAACCTCCACACGTGTGACATCTATGGTTACAGCGTCTATTCATAAGGCGATATCTGCAGCTACTGTATGCCGAAGATTACATATGAGTGGACTGTATGCCCGGATACCTCGAGTTTGTGTTCCTCTATTCATCCAATCAAGAGGGGTACGATTATAGTGGTGCCGGGAACATGTCAATTGGAATGTGTGTGACTGGGGCAATGTCATGTTTACTGATAGTCAAGATTTGCTCTGAAGCCAGAAGACAAGCGTATAAGGATATGGCATGAACAACGAATATGCAGTCAGTCCCAAAACATCACCAAACATCACGCATTCCGAGGTGGAAGCATTATTATGGTGTGGGCAGGGATTTCATTAGGATACCGCACCGACCTGCACATCCTTAAACGTGGTTCTTTGACGGCTGTCCGGTATCGAGATGATGTCCTAGAACCCATTAGTGAGATTGTACGCTGCAGCAGTTGACCCTACTTTTGTTTTAATGGACAATAACCCATGTCCCCATAGAGCTGACATCGTTGATGACTACCTGGAGAGTGAAGGGATTGCACGTATGCCGTGGCCAGCTTATTCGCCCGACCTTAATCCTATTGAAAATCTTTGGGATGCTCTCGGCCGTGCTGTATCTTCATGTGAAGTTTAATAAATAAAGATAACCCATAGAACATTAATAAAAGTCCCTTTGGGCGTAATTATAAAATCTGAAAACTTTCAGATTTTTTTTTATTATTTTTTGTCTGTGTAATTATCTGCCATTGCAATACATTTGGTTCAGTACCCAGGAAGTTTCCGTATTCCAAGAAAAAGAGTTTTTTGACTGCATGTTGACCAATTCTTGTACGGCATTAATAATTTGCTCATTAAGTCTGAATGTCATCCTTTTGAAAAGTTCTTGTATAAAATGAGGCTCTTTAACTGGCGTTTCCATACTATCAATACTTATTTAAGATTCTTTAGCGATTTCTCTGGTGATGCTACACCGATAGACCCAAATTACAGCATCAAGGGCAATCGACTTGTGTTCATAAGCTCATATTCTCAGCCAATGAACATGTTGTTCAACTCTTAACCTGTCTTCTTTTAAAGATGTGCACTCACTAAATTAAGAGAAATATTTACCCCAAAATTGATTTTAAAAACTCAAAAATTTATGTTAGAAGGTACCTTTATTAGTAAAAAATCTGATGATAATTCACTGTGCAATACTTTTGTAAACCTGTTACTCCAGCATATTGATTACAACTAATAAGAATGATGGAAAACGAAATTAGCACTGCTGTTGATGAGTTCAAACATGCCTAATGAGTTATGATTACATGGAACTCCTCTGTAAAAGAGCAGAGCTTGAAAATTCCTTTTTATGTTTTAACTTCCCTTGCAACTAGTTCTGTGCTATGTCTGTATGCTTTCTTGTAGATATCTGTCACCATTTAAAAATCAATATTAATTTTATTAATATCTTACTGCTCCTTTATTCACTATATCTTTTTCACTCGTTGTGTTGCCCTCTTTCCATCCAGCTTATAAGGCATGTTTAAATTGCGTCAGAGCAGACATATATATATTTTTAATAGTTTATCTCATGTGAAAGTTAGTTTTACATATTAAATCAGTTTTCCATTTATTTTACTAGTTTTAAGCATTTTAGAATTTTAATAATAATTTATTTAAATGGCATTTTTTCCAGAATATTGGAACATACTTTAGCTGCCTTTGAACCTAGTGCCAAAGAAACTTCTAAACAGAGGCTTTCTCCTCAGAGCTTAATACAGTTATCTTCTGAAGTAAAGAGCTTATCAAGCAACATTCAGGAAAGGCTGCAATGGAATCCTAATGCTGAAATTTTGCTTCGTGCTGCACATGAAGGCATACGACTGTTGACACCTGCAGAAAAGGCTGCCTATCAGGTATAAATTTGGTTGAAGATTTTTTTCAAATTGTCTCAAATTATTTGAATAGGAAAGAAATTATTGTAAAATGTACTTAAAACATTTAGTGAAAATTACATTGCATATTTCTTATACTTTAAGAATTCTCAGTTATAAAAGTATAAGTTTTTCTATATATTTAATGTGAAAATCATGAATGATTTTTCATTTTTATTTGCATAGGTTCTAAACTGAACACATGAATTTGTTTTTATTTTCAGTATTATAAAATAAACAAAGAAATCTTTTTTTTTTTTTTTATTTTTATTTTCATATAATAAATTGCATATTTCTATTTAACTAAAATTAAACAAAGATGCTGTTTGAATTGCTTACTGAAGTGTAACAAATTTTACATTTTCTATGTTGTATCATTAGCCCAAAAGAGGCTATTAGTCTTAAAATGGGGTTTTGTGTTGGTTCACTATAAGCGGTGAATCATGTTTCAAATTTTTACCACCAAATATTATTGCCCTGCTTTATTTTTGAAAAAATTAAAGATTTAAGAACCTGCATGCATGTATGTATATTCCTCTCATTGTCAAAAAATGAAGGTACCTATAGTCATCAAATTTTTACTAACTTAGTTCTCCACTCGAACCTGTGCACCTGGAAACACGAATTTTGAATTTTTTATTTAATATTTTATAAAAATAATTAATTTTGGATTAACAGACTCAACAATTTCAAAGAGAGCAGGAGCAACACTGCACTTAAAAATAAAACATTTTTATCTCCAGCATGTCATACATACTGTTTATCTGAAATTCTAAAGATATGCTGTTTTTAAATATTTTGTGATTTTGCTTGTTGGATTAAATTTTATCTGGCATAAGTGCAAAGAACATGATATTTAATAAATTAAGTTAACACATAAATGTTAATAATAAAAAGGAAAGTTTTGCAAACCATCTTACTAAGAAAACGGGACATTGATATGATGAGCTGAGAAAAAACTATGTTGCTTTTAAAAGTTTTGTAATTTTGATATTGAATTGTATATGGCTTAAATGCAAAGAAAATGAACTTTAAAAATAAAGCCAAAGAGAAATGGGTTAGCAGTAGTGAGTGCAATACCAGACTGTGTAGACTGCAAGCTCAGTGACAGAATAAAAAACCTTAATAAATCCTTTTGGGCGATCTTTAAAATCTGAACCTTTCAGATTTTCCTTCTCTTTTTTATATTGTTAAATAAAAAAATTAGAAACACATATAAATATGCAGTGGATAAAAAGTTGTGTATAACACATATAAACATGCAGTGGATAAAACATAAATTAACATCAATTTTAATTTCACTTTGCATAGAAAACACTGGGTTCATATAATCCTTAAAAGTCCTTTGCTTGTTTGGAAATGATTTTTGGTCCCTAAAAGTACTTAATTTTTATCAGAATTTGCAAACAGTCCATCAGACATGTTCATTTCTTTTATGTGACTGCCATCTTGAATGTGAGTTAACATTTTAGATGTTTCTAAAAATTCAAAGCATCCAGTTTGTATGAAAGCCAATGAAAACTGACATTGTAATAAACAATAGTCACCATGAATGAAACCTTCCGGAATGCCTGATTGGTTGTTCTCTCAGTCTTCTAAAGCAAATATTATTATCAATAAGTATACTGTCTGTCTACATTGAAATTAAAAACTTTCCATGATTTTGATTTGTGATGAAAATGTGACTTGTGAAGAAATTGAAGATTAGGCTTCATAAAAGTTATGTTTTCACTCACTATTACTAGTAAATCTGAAAATCATAAATGATAAAAAATGATACAGACAAAAACTAGGAATTTTTTTAGGGTATGGCACTTGAAAAAGAGGGAGAGTATTCTGAAACAATCTGAGAGATTTGTATGAAAAGTACATAATTGTGTCAGACATTTGGGTTACATTTTAAAGTTGTGTTATTAATTACACAAGAATCAATCTTTTTTATGTTTTGGTTATCTGAATTTTGTTTTATGCATTTCCAAGTATAGTGACTTATCAACATTTTTGATAATTTTAAAACCAACTTGCATACAGAAATTTTGATTTGATGATTTGTGAATTTCATGAATATTTTTTTAACCATATAACTATATAATACTTAAAATAATAGCAGTCTATTAAAATAATTTTTTCAGTATGTTATTATTTCCTTCTGTTATGGTTTAAAAATATATATTTTTTCATTTGGAATTTTCGAATTCATTTCATTTTTGAATATTTTGATTCTGAAAATTAAAAGGTAATTATTATAAATCAGAATTTTTTAATTACTTTTTTGTAAAAGGAAAAAAGCCACTATAATTATGTTATAATTAATTCCATTTATTCTCATTCCTTAGATTAATAATTTTATCTGCGTAATTCTCTCGAAATATTCAGATATGTGTTAGTTTTCTCTGTAAAATTAAGTTTATGCATTTTTTTTTATTTCAAACATTTTTCTGATTTTTTTCCCTCTTATTAAGTAGACAGGTATTTTGATCATTAAAAAATCCATAAAATCCCCATAACAAATCAAAAATGTATTTAAAGTTTTAGTACAGAATATACGTTTTACAAGAAAATTATAAAGCGTGTCTCATATTGTTTGGAGGATTTTTAAGAAAAATAGTGAAAACAAAGTTATCTGAATTTTCTGTGGTACTTCATCATTATTAAGGCCCCCCCATTATTTAAACATCACCAAGGGTCCATTTATTAATGAACAGTACGAAAGTAGCAAATCTGCTGATGTTCTTTTTGTGATAGTCAAATTGTAAGGGTTTCTGATTGGCTGTTCGATGACAGTTTGTGAAAGTCAAGTTTGGTTGATGCTTTGGTGGAGTTCTTTAAGAAGGTTCAGTTAAAAAATAAAGGGGGCTGTAATAGTAAAAGTTCCTTTTTTACTTTTGCTCTGAAATGCCTTTCTCTGGACACATTTTTCTTTCCTTGATATTTTGTGATTTATATATATATATATATATATATATATATAATAATTCTGATTTTTGTAATATATATCTAATCTTTTCTGGGATAGACATCAGTAATAAAGACTGAAAATTAACAATTTAAAAGATTTATCTAATATTTTGAACATGAAATATATCATTTCATTCATTAATTTTTTCTGAATTTATTCTCAGTATTGAAATTATTAAAGGAATAAATTAACAACTTTTTATGCATGTTTCAAATATTTTTCTGCACAAACTTTAAAGTGTTTCTGATAAGTGCTTAATTTAATTTGAAGGTGTAAATAATTGTATCCTATTTATTTACGTATAAAGTATAAACTCTTTTGTATTGCTAAATTAAATTATATCATATTAAATAAATGATGTATAAATATATTTATAAAATATATAATTTTTGTTTAGGCTGTTAACAATTTTGATGAATATCCTATGCTTCTCAAAGGTGAGCCAATGATGAAAGGTATAAAATATGGGCCAGGAGCCATAGCATGTCAAGTGCTTCCTCATGTATGTGCAAAAGATACCACTGTAAATTGTTGTGTACATTGTTCAGGAGAAATTCAGCATATTTGAATAATGCAGTATATTAAAGAATTGTATAACAAATATTTTAATGAAAATTTAAATTGCTGCTATTGAAAAATTTGAAGATCTTAACTTGAATACTTAATTTTAAGCAGAGTTTATTGAACAAAGACATATTGTGTATTATTTATGTACATATATGTACACATATATATTTTATATAACTATGAAGCTAAGTCATCATTACTCAAAATAAAGTTTTAGTTAAATATGATTTCATATATTTTAAATTTCTCATATTAACTTTCTTTGATATATAAAATATACTTAAATGAATGGGACTTAAGTACATGTACAGTATTGGAGAAGAGTCCCCCCCCACACTGCAGTATATATTCTTTTATATTGTATATAAATGTTAATGCTAAATGAATGTAGAGCTGTGATCAATATTTTATATTAATAAATGCATAAAGTTATGTGCTGTTATACTGTATATTTTCAAAGTAAACCAAATAAAGTGTTTCTATATTGAAAAAGAATAAATTTACTGCATTATTATTTAATAAGATCTCAGTTTAGAGCTATATGATACATTCTTAGAATTTATCAAATCAGGAAATTAATATAAACTAATAAGTATGTTTTCTGTTTCATTAATGTCACCTATTATTGGCCTAGAAGATAAGACCACTAAATACTGGTAGTTTGACCTGGATTCAAGTGCAGACAAATGGGCTTGATTTTCATGGATTTTCCCATGTGTAACATTAATACAAAACATTTTCTCTTCTACAAAGGCATCCCTTTCCTTAGACAAACAGCCCTTGTATGCTTTGTTATAGTCAAACAACTTGTAACATATTTATTTACATACATTATCACTGTAATATCATTCTTAAAAAATCAATTTTAATGAAAATAAATTTTGAACACCAGGTTTTGCTAATGTTTCTGTGTGTGTGAGAATGTGCGTGCGTGCAAGCATGCAAAAGAATGATTAGCAGACATGGGTTTAGCAGAAATTTTGTCTACTTTTATTACAGCCAAGATCCCCTAGGGTGTTTGTTAGTCTTCCCTAGTCCTTGTCAGACACTATTTGTAAATCTCATTGTCAGGACTAGAGCTAATAGTAGCAGAATACTTTTATCTTATGATTAACAAAAGCAGTCCTCTATAGGCATTGGAAACAAGTTCTTATATGTTCAAGATTTTAAATTTGTGTTTCCCAGTATTAAAGAAAAGATGAGCAGTGGCTCTACTTCCTCGAACACTAGCTGACAGGGAATGGCAGTGTGTACACACGTTACAAAAAACATCATGAAATGCTTCCTTGCATTATCTTAGATTATCAGTCTTTGTTTACAAAAGAGGAGTGGTCATTGCAGACTGAAGAAAACAGAAAGCATTGATTAGCCATGAAGTAACAGATCAATTTAATCTTCTGGCTAGAAATGGGAAATTTGGATTTGAGCAAAACACTGGAAAAAATTTTTTGTTATTTTATTTTTTCTTATTTTCTATGTGCATGATTTGTAACATGTCGAAAATTCCTAAATGAAATGATTGAAGCCTGAATGAAACGAATAAATTGCTGAAAGATGTAAATGCAGTATAAGAGACAGGATTTAAAATGGGAATTTCCCAAACAGCATTGTGCAGTTTACTTAAAGAAATAAAACTAGTAAAAAATGCAAATATCTCAAGAAAGTGCAAAAGGAATTGAAAATCAAGAGTTGTTGAAACCTCTCTTCCAGAACTATTTCAAATATAAGACTAAAAATTGTTCCAATTTCTAGATCCCGTTTGACCACTAAAACTGTAGAATTTGCTCAAATGCTAGGAGAAAATTTTTCATCAATTAATTGATCGATGGCTCACAAGATTGAAAGAGAGACATAACATTGTTTATCAGAAATTACATGGTGAGACCCAACACCTGCAGTATGAAAGGGCAGAATACAAACCCAGCTAGATCATATTTAAGCATTAAGTTTTACTAACAAAATGTTTATCTACATACTAAGCTTTTATTTGACTAGAATTTTAATTAAAAATTATTACAATATTCTTTTTTACTCATTGCAGTTAGTGTGATTCACTGGAATTAAGGGATTTCCTATATGGGGATTAACATATTTCTGTATATTGAGTGGTCGAAGAGCCAGTTCTAAGTCCTGAAGAGTTGCTTGAGGCTTGCGATGTAACAATGTTACAGAAGCTGCAATAAAAGATATAAGATTAATGTCACTTTTTTATAAATTAGAAGACATATGTATTATTAAAACTTATTTAAAATAATTACAACAAAATGGAGAAAACTGGTCACTATAGGATTGTGATACCTTGTCAGACAAAATAAATTTTTTTGACTGTCATTACCAAATTTAAAAAATTAAAACTAATGTATGTAAATAGTAAAATATAATATAAAAAGTTTGAAGGCACACACCCAAAAGATTTTTTACATTATACACTGTTTGTTAACATGTGTTTATGAGAACAAACTTCATCTATGATATACTGAATTCTACTAAATTAGCTTCCATTAAATAAATCATTTATTAAACTGTATGTGATGTTTAAAACTGTAAATATTTTACATTAAGATGCATTCGATTATACTACCCATTTTATAACAAAGTGTTACTTGAAAAAATTCATAACTTGTTTAAAAAAGGTTCTTCTTTATTTCTTCTATTTATGCAATCAAAATATCCGTAATAAAATTTAAAGCATATTTAGGCATTAGAAAAGGTACTGCTTCATTATCATTAGAAAAAAGCTTAATTTAACTTATACATAAATATCCATATATTTTATATTTAATCTTATATTTTCCTTTGAGTCATATAATTAAAAAGCATATATGAATAGATGTATTAATAATATTAGTCATTCTTTAGTACTATTTTTATATCATTATACATATTTTATTACCTTGTAGTGTGATACTTTGGTATACACCTTTTTTTAAAGAAATCTAACTTTGATATACACCCTGTTTCGATGGGAATTTAAGAATGTTAGTGAGAAGAGTACAGCAAGATGATGATGATTAGGATCACAATGTAGGGGAAAAAAGATATTATTGAAAAAGTATGAAGATAATAATGCATGTCCAGAACTTGGGTATTGTACATCATATGTCAAAAACAATGGTATCTATGATTGTGGAAAACAAAGACACTATTAAATTGACTAAGGTAAGAATCCTCAAATAGATCCAAGTATGGATCTGACAGAAAATGAGAAATAAATTTTTTAAGTTTTAATTTATGTATGATACATATTTCACCAACTGTATTTGTATTTTAAAAGAGTCTTATAATAATAACAAAGGGATTTTTTTCATAAGAATGGATTAGTTATTTTTTCTTATTTCTTATTGAAAATGCTTGGCATTAAATCCAATGATCTGAAATGGATTAACAGTGCTGCCAACTCTCCTGGTTTTCCCAGGAAACTCGCAACTTTTCTTCACATCTTCCAGTCTTCAAAAGATCAGCAAATCTCCTGATTTTTAATTTTTAATGCTTCTGATTTTTAATTCTTATCAACAAAAATGTTTCCCAACATAAATGAAATTTCCTGAATTAATAAAACTTAATCAGGAAAATTCAATCCCTTCCTCACTTCTAATGATTTTCAGAATAATTTTTCTTATTAAATTTTATTGTATTTGAATTGTATTTTTTATTACATTTTGTTGATCTTATTAAATTTCATTTGTTTTGAGTTGTAGTCCGAGTCTGTATTTACAGTACACATTTGTAGATTTTTATATGAAGTTACAAGCAATGTTTAACAGCTATTATTTGTGTTTAATTTTATTTAAATATATAGTACATTTATGCACACAAATAGTACATTCATTAAATATTGATTTAATTTTCATTTTACTTAAAAGTACTTTGTAAATAAAAGCTTTTCTTCACTATTCAGGATTTTTTTAATATAAAAGCGTAAGAAAATTTTAAAATGAAATTATCCAAAGAACATAAAATTTATAATACTTAATTAAATATTAATATATTTTATATTAGAGTTGTAGTATAAATACTTGAATAACATGAATCATGCATTATAATTGAATTAAAGTCAGTTGGGAGTTCTTTTGAAATGGTGTCGCTGCGCAAGGTGAAACCATGTAGGTTTTTCTCAGATTTTTTTGCATACGCCTCTCAGTTTTCAAGGTTTGAAGCTGTGGATTAATGACATATACTGAGTACCATTGTATTTTATAATACAATGATTAATTATATTTTATAATACAATGATACAATGTATTTTATAATACAATGATACCTCAGTTGATACATAATTTACCACTCAGTCAATGATCAGATGCTTTCTTCAAAAATCTCTCCTTTTAGCATTTAAGCATTCAATTTCTTTGTTTAATTTCAGAATCGTGTCAGACTTACTTCAAATCCAAACTCTTTTGATGCATGTTTGATCCTTTCTTGCACTTGCAATTTGAGATTTTTAGCATTACCTCTCATATCAATGCTCCTAAACTGTTAAAAACTACGCTGACTTACTTGAACTGACAATGACATTTCACAAAAATTACATTCATGAACTAATTGAAACACTTCATTTAAGAACTGCGTTAACCGAAGTCCGTGACCATAAGAATAAGATACAGTTGTCAAGATAATTGTAAAATATGTCATCAGTATCTATACTTCCTACTGTAAATAACGAAAAGGAAAACAATGTGATAATATTCAAGCTTTGTAAATTGCTTTAAGCGTTCTAGAAGAAAGAATGTCCATTCCCATGGGTGTTATGACCTCTCATATTTTTACATGTATGAAGTCTGAATTTTCAGAGGAAGACAAAGACAAAAGAGGGAATTTTACTTCCTTTACTTCCTTTGTCTATTCCATTTCTTTCATCTTTGGCAAGCAGTTTACTGTTCTTACTGCACTACTATCGTCCATTTACCATCTAGCAAACTAAACTGGAATAGAGCTGTTATGCCCAATTTACTATATGTTACCGCTTGAAGCTTTGTTTCTCTTTTAATTTCACTTTGGGGGGGGGGGGGGATAATTGCCTTGTTTAGTACTATGAAGTGTGAATAAAGTCTTCATACATGTGCAAAAAATAATTCTGAGAAATTGCAGAAATACATAAGTAAATATGATAATTTAATTCACTATAAATTCTTCATGATTTAAGGAGAAAAGCTAATACTATTTCTTCAGTATAAGTCATGAAGTATGTATATTGATTCTCTGCATTGTTAAAAATCATTCAAAATTAGATTTATTCATCAGATTATATCAAAACTGTTTGTTATATGACTTGAAGTACTTAATTTCCTTCAGGCTTTGAAGATACTCATACAAGTTTTTTTTATTTGAAATTTATGTGATTGTTTCACTGAATTTTTTTCTCTCAAATGCAAATTTGTACGAGTTTTTCTGAATGTTATTGTGAACACCGAAATGGATAGTAATCTAGAATTTCATAATAGTTGCATAAAAATAGATGAAAGAAATGTGGCCACATTCAATAAAATTCAGTAACATTTAAATGCTAGGTTAACCATTCCCTAAGCAAAATATACAAATGATGACTTTAAGAGTTATTCTTGTATTACTTAGTTTAAGATACATTTAAAAAACAATAAAATCTTTAGACAACTGAGCATTTTACTAATTTTTAATTAATTAAACTTTTAACTGGATATTAGATGTAAATATAAAAATTATGTATAACTTACATGTATAATTGAAAACTCCTGGTAAACAGACATATTCAACTGCAAATTCGCTGTAATTTGCTTTTAATACACGAAACTGCAACTCTTTGTGGAACTATGAAAAATGAAAGAAACACAAAAAAATTGAGTTACACACTTCTAATACAAAAAACTTATTAAAATTTTGCAAAATAAAGAAATATTATCGATAGAAGAATTCACATCTGTTTTGATTCGCCTATCAGCTGTTTATATTAAATGCGCCAAATGACAGGTTCTTCAGTCATATGATTTCTAAAATAGTCATTTTATTTACTGAAATTTCGTCACTATATAATAATAACTATAAGCGTGAAAGTGAAATAATTATTAAATTTGTATTCAAATGAAATAATTCAGAGAAATTTCTACTACAAAAGCTTAATAGCAACAATAATAATTTTAGAAGTGCATTTTTTTTCTTCTGTTTAAGATCAAGTCTGATATGTGTAATATATTCTGTTCAAAAGCCTTGACTTTAATTACAGCTCAATTCTCACACTTTCAAAGCTTTTTTTCCTTCTGCTTTTTTTCCCCTTCCCTTTAAAATTCCATTTTAATATTAAGGTAGATCCCTTTGAACCACTCTAAGAAAACTGCCCCCTACAGACATTCACATACAAATTCTACAGAAATTTTGCGTGCTCAGCAGTTTCGCAATTGGTTGAATAAACATTGATAGACTTTTCGACAAATTTTACACGATAATTCCAATATGATAAAAGAGTGTAGAGAATCCTAACCTCCTGAACAAAAAGAAATTTGAGCGAAGATTTGCACTAACATTCTTCAAAATACTGAAAGTGACCTGCCATGAATCTTGATTTTTTTTTTTTTTTTTTTTTTTTTTTTTTTTCCATTTTGAAACTAAACTAACTTTTCGTGATCTTGAAACTAAGCGACAATACATGCAATGAAAAAGTGCCATGAAAGAGAAAGAAGGCATGTGAAAGGAATGACGTTCGTTTTTCCAGATATCCAAGGAGCATTTTATATGGAATAGATACTTGAAAAACAGGGATAACAGGGTACTTGAAGAACAGGTGAGCTAAGAGAAAGTCTGGAAATTCTCCATGACGTGGAAAAAAAGCGATCTGAACTCGTGGTTTCTTCACTATGAAAAGCTCTACCTTTGCCATGTCGTTTTTGACTGAACACCAAGTTCTCAGATCTGTGCTACTACCCTGACGTAGCATCCTTCATGCTTTGATGATATGACTTTTTCTGTTCCTAAAAATCAAATCTGCTTAAATGAAACCGGATTTTAGTTCATTAATGCAGTGCAGAAAGAAAGGATGGAGCTTACGAACGAATTATTGCAAACTGGCTACATTGTGTCCATGTAATTCACATGGAATGCAAACAGTGGCATATTCACATGGAATGCTGTAGAGATCGGGGAAAGAAAAGAAGTTATTCACGTGCTTAAATTCCGCCGAAGCCCTGCTCCGGTACTTCTCAGTTTTTAAGATAAATTACAATTTTAACCGAAGCCCTAAATAAGATGAGCTCTGGTACTTCTTTTTATAAAATTGAACCACAATTTAAAGGGAAAAAATTTAGAATTCATAACGTTTTAGTTTAACAATAAGCAGACCTTGCAATACTCTATTTCCCTAGAAATACGAACTCATGAAAACATGAGATGTTCAAGTAAAGTCCCATCACTCACATGCAGAAACCTTTCCCTTTAAAAAGGACAATAAATTTGGGGGAGTTTGTTTAGGAACGCGTAAATATCTCGCCATGCCATCGTATCTAGTGTATTGTTATCGATGCTTACAGTTAGTTATCCTCGCAGGAAGGATAATTTGTGTTCTTAAATGTGCGTAAGTGACAGCAAGTACAATAATAATGAAATACTGAGATAAACTGCTCAAATCACGTCTTACACATCGTCTTCCCACAGTATCCACTAAGGTGGGGGAAAACGTAACCAGCAACTTTACATTCATCCTTAGGAATCAGATTCAGGACTCATTTCACCCCTGACACACATCTGCTTGATGGCCATAATTATATCAGCAGAGAGCCACAATTAAAGAGAATGTTCATCCTCACCAAGATTCCCCTCATTTTTTGTTTCCACCCACTCATACCCTTATTTTGTTTCGCCCTGGAATTTTCATCAATTATACTTTATTTAATTTTTGTGATGATAAACAAACTTTTCTCTCTAAGATCAGAGCTTAAATTGGGCCGGAGCCCACCGGATCTCGGCTCCGATGTTTCTTGTAATAAATCATAATTCTAACCGGAACGCACCGCAGCCCTGAATAAGAAGGCTGCGGCACTTCTCTTATGTAACTGAATAATAATTTCAGTAGATATTTATCTCGAAAATTGTATTTTAACAATAAAATTATATTAAAAATTGCTTATTAAATTTCAATTTATCTCTTTACATTTTATTTAATTTTAATTATTTAATTACTTCATTTTTTAATTATTTCAATAAATAATAATTAATTATTTAATATTTATCAATTAAATTACAATTAATTATTTATCTAATAAGTATCAATCAAGTTATGATTAATTAATTATATAATAATTATTGATTAATTGACAATTTATAAACATTAATTAAATAGCTATTGAATTAATTTGATAATAATTAACTATTTAATTTTAAAATTATTAATGAGTTTAATAGTCATTTTATTTATTTATTTACTTTTGTTCCTTTTTGCTGACGGTCTTCCATAGAGCTCCGGCACTTATAATCTTTATAACTTAAGCCCTGCGCAGCTGTAATCAATGACACTGTAATCAATGACGGACCTGTAATCAATGACGGAAGACAGCTGTAATCAATGTTCTGACATGCCTTATATGTCTTCGATTACGTAGAATACGCAGGAAGACAGCTGTAATCAATGTTATGATATGCCTTATATGTCTTCGATTACGTAGAAAACGTAAAGTTCTGCAGACATTCCCTGAAATGCTTGCTGTATGCAGGTACGTAATATCTTGTCAGAGGTGGGAACTCGGCAGAGGCGATAGCATTTACAATAAAACTGCTCATAAAATATAGGCGTATTATTTGCCAGTGACAGAACACCGAAGTTATTATAGGAAATAGCTCCATATTTCTTTAATTAAATAAGGTGAAGTACACAAGAGCTATCTGCTTAGAAGACAGGTATCTTCGTGTATAACAGTCTGTGACTCCCGACGTAAGCAACCTCTTCTACAAATTCTCCATTTAATCTAAGCCAAACGAAAATTAGTGATTAAAAACTATGGCTCCAGTCCGAAACATCCCGATTCCAGTAAGACTCAGTAAATCTCACAATGGAATCCAGCCTTCTTGCAGCGGTACTTTCTACCCTGTATTTCAGATACAGGTTGAATGGATTTTGAATGGAAAATAACATAATTATCGGTGTATTTACGGAAATTCTCACTGTCGCACATCCTCTCGAGAAGATTTCGGTTCTGTTCTTTCCCAGAAATAGACTTGTTACTCCGCCATCACGATGGATGCCCTGTTGGAACCGCTGGTGAAAACATCGTGTGACTGTGTCGACGTTCCAAAAAGAAAAAAAAGGAAAAAAAATGTGGGTCGCATCCCTTCTGTCGGTAAAAATTCTGTTCGTTAGAATGTTTGCCCGTGGATGGTGATGTAATCCCTTTCAAATCGCTAGTTGATTCATCACTGAATGAGTCTTCGGAACAATCTGACGATCACAATTTCATCAACAATGTTATTCTTTAGGTGTTTCGAAATGGCACAGCGGCCAAGGAATATATTTATACATATTTTATGATACGATTTTCCCGCCTTTCTAAAGTCTGTGTACTTTCTTTGGTTGTGCATTTTCTTTTCCATATCTGGCTTAGATGTATCAATGGTAAGTTTCAAGACTGTCAAATCAGGTTCTCAAATACGCTTTTCCATCTCTAAGAAAGTATATTGTTCTTGTTCTGGCAAAATAGAATTCGTAAATATGATCATACTCCGGAAACTAATGGAGGTAAAGAAGAAAAGAAAGAATACGGAAGCAGCTTCTGACAAGTATTGTCGCTGTGTCAATGTCAAACATAAAAACGTTTAATTTTTCTTTCTTGCTTTTCGTACATAGTAAATTCTCAGTGAACTACTATGTACGAAAAAATTCGATAAAGGAAATATTTCTAATTTTACCTGCACCTCAAAAAAACCAATGTGCTGTTTTCAAAAAAAGTCGTTTGCAGAATGTGGAATAAAATTAAAAACTTTACAGTCCGTGTCTCGAAATTTTGTTCTGTACTCAAAATCTGCAAACACGCTTATTGTAAACACACTGAATTGCTTTGGTTTGTTAGAGTTCAGCGAATAGGAGAGAATCGTTGTTTTATCAGTGTAACACGCAGTGATGCAATCGTCGAACATCGAGAAGTTCATAACATAGATTAGATAGAAAATTGGACCTAAAATTGAACTTTGGTGGACGGCCGCATTAATGTCTCTGCAAGAATAGTAACTGCTCCGTCTGATGCTCAATATATTGTTGGAGATGAAAATTTATGATGAGAATCATCTCTCGGGCGAGAGCGAGGGGAATGAGCTTAAAAATGAGACAATTATACCAGATGCGGTCAAAAGCTTTAACCAGAACTTACCTCAAACTAACTATTAACTTCAGCAGATAAATAAACTTTAACAGACTTATGAACTGTGAACTATTAGGAATAGTGAACTATTTATGAATTATAAACTATTTATCAACTGTGAACTATTATTGCATTTCAACAAACCATCAAAATCCTATTTTATTTATTATGTATATAACCAAAATTTTGTATCTAAATCTTTATTTGTATTCTACATTATGCATTCTATATTCTATGTAAGTACCATCAAAATTTCTGTTGATATTTATATGAATTCTGTCAATGTATGTCAAGTATATGTCAAAATTATGTATACATCAAAATCAAAATTTTTATTGTAATATAAAATTTTAAATAAACGTGGTCCGAGTGAGCAATAAAGCTGAAAGTCTTCATGGCGGCACAGCTGCTCACCCAGTGGTCTCCTGTCTCCTGTAATAGGAGTTTATTTATTTTTACTTTTTTTTTTGGGGGGGGGGATAACCATTGTGTTTGTTGTTCGTGTTTTTTCTCTCTGGTGTTTACTTTTGTCTAAACGTTTGTATTTGTTCTTTTCCTACACGTTTATGTTTTCAATTATTATTAACACATGATTTAGTTATTTTATGTTTTAATTATATTTCTTTATTGAATTGGGCGTGACCTGTTATGACCGTAAGACAAAGCTATTTGGTTAGGTGGATCGGCCTGCGCCCACATCTGGTACTTCTGGTAAACTGTAACAAGAATTGTGACATCGCTTTTCTTTCGTTCGTTAAGAAATCTTTATTTTACTTATTTATTTTTAGTTGAAAATTATGCAATTTTCAATTTTTACCATCAAGTGAAAATACAGAAATTGCTTTATTCTAAGAAAGGAGTATTTTACACTCCACTCGAATTAGCAAAAACAAATGTGAAATAAAATTACGTACCACCGAGCGGAAGCCATAGGGAGATGCAGTGCGAAAACTTTGCAGAAAAAAAAAAAAAAGACCTTTGCATCAGCAACTAGCTAACTGTTTCAAAAATTGTTAGCAACGGTAAATTTCTATTGTTGGAAATAAGTTCTCTTTCTCCTTCCCTTTTACTGCGAATATTACTTATTTTGAAGCCCTATTTGTTTTACGGCATATAAACTTAGTGACATTTTTTTTTTTTTTTTCTTTTGTACTTTTATAAGTGGTAAAGCAGATATGTAAATATATAGGAATACATTTAGCAAATACACAACAACATATAATTTACAGGAATTCTGGTCACTAGCCTTCAGAAATTGATCTGACGATTACTATAACCACGGACAGTATCACTGCGAATTATTGCACTACAATATTTATTAATTTGATAGCTTAGGATAACTAAACTAATTAAAGAAACATACAAACAAAAGTTGCACTACTTGTGACAAAAATTCACAGCAGTTCTGCAAACGTTTGCTAGAAAAATCGTATTTCTTCCCTTAAGCAGATTAACTACTTTTGCGCACTTTGCTGTATTCGGCTACACAAACGCAGTTTACCAGTTGCTTCAATACAAAGAAGTTAATGTCGCATCGACACCAGCAGCCACTTGGAATTTTAAATTCGCAACTAAACTGCCATTCTATTTAAGATCTGTCAGTCATTGGCAGTGATAGCTCACCGAATGATTAGGAGAACAAAAAGAGCAAATAACGCAGAACGCAAACTAAAGCTTAACTGTTTTTAAACAATACTCATATTACCATTACGTATCATTTAGCAAATATTGTAACTTGAAAAGATAAATAAATAAATAAAAATAAAGCAATTACATACTCTACATAAACTTCTTTCAATACTTCACTAATCTGCTTAGATATAATAAGACTTTATTATCAAAAAAAAAAAAAAAAAAGGACTAAACAATCCAGGAATGTGTTATGTTTCCTCGTATAGTTAACGTAATATATTTTGCTTAGGTAAAATGAAATGAAAACGAAAATACGTTGTTATGACGTTCAATGGCAAAGTTAATATCATTATCAGACTGGAAAAACGAGAATAGTTTGCAGATGAGTATAAACCCTTGGGAGTTTTTCAGCAATTTCGGATGTTAAGAGAAATTCAGAATCTATTTTAAAATTAAAAGATATTAATTTAATATTATGCACTATATTGTTAATTTTACTAATTCATTATGGTAAATTTAAAAAATAATATTTCAGTCTAATTTCAGTTAAATAGAAATAGATTAGGCTTCCGCCCCAAATAATTTTTTTTAAACACAATGAAAAGTAAAGTTTTATGTTTACTTAAAGAGCATATTGTAATGTTAAAAAAATTAATTAAGCCTCTCTTATTTTACTTAAATGTCTTGCAAGCTAGGCAAATAAAAAAATAATTTCATTATTAAAAAAAAAAAAAAAAAAATCTGAAATGTTTCAGATTTTAAATTACGTCCAAAGGGGCGTTTTTTAACATTTTGTGTGTTACCTTTCTTTATTAAATATCATGTTCCTCGCACACTTAAACCATAAGATCCAGTGCAACAGCAATATCGCAAAATAGTTTTAAAACGAGCATATCTTTAGAATTTCCGATACAGAGACTCACGCGCTGGAGATAAAAATGTTTTTCTGCACAACGTTGCCATTGCTCGCTTTGAAATCCTTGAGTTTGTTAATCAAAAATTCGTCAAAGTTTTAAAAAATAGGAAATCGATCATAAAACAAATTTCAAATTTCAAATTTGGTCTTCCACATGCTCATATTCGTTGGAGGATTACGTTATTCAAAATTCGATGACTCTATGTACCGTTATTTTATGACAATGTGAGAAATATACATACATTTACGCAGATTTTCATTATTTAATTTCTTCAAATATAATGCAGGACTCTAACATTTTATGGCAACAGTTTGAAAAGTGAACCGACATTTATGAGTCCGACGCAAAATGCCAAAACGAAACTAATAGTCCTTCGGGATTCAAATCCCTTTGGACTAAAAATTTATCGAAATAAATTAACTTAATGTTTTGGTTAATACTAATAAAGATATTTTATCATTTTTAACTTAATAATATGCGAAAACAAATAAGATAAACGAACTGAATAGAACAAGATAAACGAAAACATAAAATTTCTTCATCAGCATTACAATAAACATCAATATCAAAATGCCGGTTATCGAGACTTTTCGATTGTTCGGACAGGCTGTAGTCCTAGTTAGATAAACAAAGTTTTATAATAATTAGCGTTTATTGCAACTTACAATGCGACAGGAATAGAGAGAGTTCTCCAGATGATTTTCCAGATTCTCTTTTCAGTGATCCACTATCAAAATTTTTCATATGCCTGAAATATCGAAATTTTCCGCTTACTTAAATTTTCAGTAAATTAGTTTTATATACTACAATTTTGAACACAAAATTTTACACGAAAATAATGATGCAAAAAACTATTTTATTCTTATATTATTGAGAATAATATTTTTATATTCTAATAAATACATACAAATATTTCTTGGCCGTATTGTACTCTATGTCCAAGTCATTACTATTCTGAGTGTAATTAACCGTCTGGCATTCCAGTGCTCGCATAGGATGACGCCGGCTCTGCGCTACTACGTACCATTTCCCAGAATACTAAAATAAATACACCAAATCAGATATAATGTCGTAAAAAGGTGAAAGTAAAGTTCTTAAACAAGGATTATTTTGTACATCAATAATCGACTGGTTTTATGACCCCCATTCTTTTCGAAACCAGTACTAGACAACATAATTTTGACGACTGGAGTTGGAGGGGAAATACTTTGAAACATAATGTTATTATTTAAAATATTTAATATTTTTAGTTATGTTCTTCTCAATTATTCTCATGTCACAACGAAAGCAACCGAAAGACCCCATGATTTCAAACCATTTCGGTCTTTAGTGAAAATGGTCGCCTTAGAGAACAAGCCATACACGTTGAATGCACATGTTTAGTTGTGATCTCAGAAATACTCTCCACTTTTGGATGTGGTTGCCATGAAATATTTCACTGCATTTATTATTGACATATACTATATTGCCGCAATTCTTCCCAATGTTTAAGACCTGAAAGAATGACATACTATCCCATTCACTAATTTCCCGTGAAGCTGCTTTCGTAGTGTTAAGTGATTAGCACGTCTTTGAACAACCATATGGCTCGAATCCTGGCAAGTACACAGTTGATCTTTTAAGTTTCTCACTCCCAAAATCCTAATTGTTTTTGCAGTGGTGCTCGACTTAAAATGTGGTGGACGATAATTCGTCAACACCTGGTTGACTGATACACCTTAGTCTTCCTTTAGGAGGAACGGTTATGAATTATCATCATCATCATAAGGGCACAGCCCCGATTCTCCTAGCCGACACAAGGTGGCCGTATGATCAGAAAGTGGGACTTATTCCCTTGCATGCTCTCGTTTTGTAAGTGGTAAATACATCTAGTAGGCACTGAAAGATAATCACTCGAGACCCGGAGAAGATACGGTTGATTTTTCATAATTCCTGCTTCGAAAAATATAATAATCTCTACGATTTACCGCAAATCTGTATCTAATAAAACATCTAAATCCTATGTATATAGATTTACCACAAATCTATATACTAGGAGTATCAATTAAAATCCTCAAATTAAATATAGGTTGTTTAATGTCTTCCAAGGCATTTGGTTGCAATATTTTACAGTACAGCTGTGTCCTAGAGATTAATTTAATGTCTCGAACTCAGGCATGAATCCTCAATGAGGAAAGCAAAGACATTTTCAATTATAATATCTTTGTTGAGGAGGCGTTTTTTAAAACCCGTTGATCAACATAGTTTTTCGAAAGTAGTGATAATAAATGGATATGAGATCCTAGAAGTCCTTCCTTATAGTGTTATCGATAAAAATGGGATGAGGGTATGCAAAAGTTGTACAGTTGTTACCAGTGCTTGAGATATATGACTAACGGTCAGCGAAAATGCATCTACCCTTGATTATTCACGAGGAATAGCTATCTGTCTCATGCGATGAATAGGGATAAAAAATAATAAAAGGTAAAATTATAAAACATCCAAAAATTGCATTTCCTACCTTCTTCCGTATTCTTCGGAATAGCCACTCTTCTTAGAACAGCTTACTTTGTTGTTTTTTCAGTTGCATACAATAAATGTTGAAACGATAAAATTAACGAAACTGGGAGAAATGGGTACTTTATGCAAAAATTCAGTAAGTATTATTACGAGCAGACATTTTCCATAGGGATGGCAATAAAACAATTGTGCAGTAAAATGAGATACATTCCGCTGACCTCATAGATCACGTGACTTATGTATACCTTTTGTAAACAAACAATGCAGATGACCTCAGAGATCACGTGACTTATGTACAGCTAATGCAAACAAGCAAGCTCATTCTTCCTCTTCTTCTCTTGCGGAATGTATCTCATTACTCAAAAGGAAATCTCGTGTCTTACTTCTTATCTTCAACTTTCTAAAATTTCTCCATCAGCAAAATGAAACTTCTGATTGAAAACCTTACCTCTTGGCCACCGATAGGCGGTTATTGTATTACGGAATGAAGCAATAAAACTTCTGTTATATAACATAAAAGTTTTAAAACAAGACCCGATTTTGCCTTCACGATTTTACTTTAGTCTTTCTGAACTGGTTATCAGCAGTTGACTGCATATGCAGTAGGCCAGTTAAATCAGTCTATTCAAAAAGGTCTTCTCGAGAAACTGTTGGAAAAAGAAAAGAGGTATGATACCTTCGAATTCCATCTTTTGCTATCAGTTATAAGTGCGACGAAGCTTAGGTAGATGCTCTCGTGTGTTTCGCCTAAATTAAATAATCCTATAATTTCCTTTCATTTCAGAAGAAAAATTCTACTCAGACTCTTATTTCTGTAGCTTTCGAAGAAGATGGCTTCAAATTAACCACTGCTAATCAAAAGAGAACTTCTTTATTAAAGGCTACTTATCCACCGACAGAAAATTATTTGCACCTGAAGACTAGTTATCTCTGACAGGAATCTTTTCTGAGGCTTTAAGTAAATTCAAGAATCTGACAATCTTCTAAAAACAACGAAATATAACATGAATTCTGCTTCGCTGAAAAGCTAAAAGCTAAGCTGCCATCGTTTAGTTCTGAACTTTACCGTAAAATATGTCATAACATAAAAGAGCAGAAATGAATGTGTGAATATAAATAAATAAGTTTGGGTTTGAAAAATATTTTAACAATTTTTGTTCTTTGTTAACCTATTATTATTGTTTTAAAACTGGAAGTTCTATAGTTTACGTTTTAATAAAGAAATTCAAGCTTTTAAGGTGCACTATAAAAAAATTTAATTGTCATAAAAGAATAAATTGAAACAGAATACCGATATCCGTGCTAGGTAGTTCAAAAACAACTTCACGTGTGCTCCGCTTGCTTACGACATCACTACGTTTCAACCGTTTAAGAAAGAGGATACAAAATAAAACTTTATCAAAATCAGATCTCGACTTTTTTCATTTTATGGATTATTCTTACATAGTAATAATACACTTCTCATTACAAAAAAAATTATTCAGGTTTTTTTGACGAACTGGCACAATTTAACATTACAAGGAATAGCCGCTGAAAGCTCAGACTACGTTTTAGTTTAGCCCAGACTACAAATGTTTATCATTTTTTTAAATCTATTCCCTTCTTCTCTTTTAATTGCGTTAATAATTTTAGTATTTGAGCAGCTATGAAAATGCTTCCATACTTACTTTATTGTAATCCAAGTCTTGCACAAATTCTTGCAACTTAGGACACGGTCCAAAAAATAGTTGCCCCAGTATCAAAGGCAAACACAGTAGAAGTATCAGACAACTCTTCATCTTCTTTTTAATGATATCGTCTGCTAAAAGAAATATTAAAAATACGAATTATTCTTAGGAATTACGGGAAGAAAACAACTCCTAGAAGAGTATGAAGTGTGTATGAAGTAAAACAGTTTCAAAGTATACAGTACTGATAATGCAGTTTTTGACTGAAAAATAACAGTTTCTGCATATTCCTAACTACATTTTATTTGTTTTAGCTTAGCCTGTATTTTATGTTCCCCTTTGAAATGAAAACATTTGGTAATTTTAATTTAAAAAGCATAATTGTTATAAATAACCAAAAAGACCTTTCAAGTTCTAAGAGTGGGGTTTAATTTTAATTACCTCAAATAAAGAGTGGTTTCGATTAAACAATGCTACATTAGTTGTAACTGACTGCATATATAATGACAAAGAAATTAATTAAAGTTATTTACAAAAATTCTATGGACTAATACATAATTTAATTTAAAGAAATGCAAAAAATAAAGGGCTAAAATGGATTATTAAATATTTCCAGGTAGAAATGAAATAATAGTAAATACATAAGTGACGATAGCCAGCCCAAAATAAACATTTTAAAAACAAATCTCTAGTGAAAAAAATAACAACTGCTGAATTTACTTTATCAAGGAAAAATTAATAACAATTGAAAATCATAATTTTGATTTAGCTTTAATAACAATCATGTAATTACTAAAGTAGAATAAAATTATAATAAATATATCACAAACCAAAGAGAATGCTCTGTAGCAGAACTGGAGGAGGGATAATGAACAAAAAAGCAAAACTGAAAACATTGCAAACAACGCGATTAACTTTGCAAATAAATAAGAAGATTAATACTAATATAAGAAGAGAAATACACGGATATTAAATTATTGCTAAAATAATTAGAAAAGTTTTAGCCCAAAGAGGCAATTTGCTCAGAAGGACTATTAATTTCGGTTTGGCATTTTTTGTCGTCCACTAGAAAACCACGTTCCACTTTTCAAATTGTTGCCACCAAATATTAGAGCCCTGCATTATATTTTAAGAAATTAAATAATGAAGAATCTGCATAAATGTTTGTACGTTTCCCGCATTATGAAAAAACAACGGTACCTAGAGACATCAAATTTTGAATAATGTAGTCTTCCACTCAAATATTGGCATCCGGCAGCCCAACTTTAGAATTTGTTGTATTATCTATTTTATATTTTGTAAAACCTTAACGAATTTTTGATAAACAAACTCAACAATTTTAAAGCGAACAATGGCAAACGCTGTACAGGAAAAAAAATTATCTCCAGCGCGCGAGACTGTGTATCGGAAATTCTAAAGATTTGCTCTTTTTAAATTTTAATTTTTAAATATTACAATATTTATATTTTAAATATTTATATGATCTTTAATATTTTGAATATATATTTTGTGATATTGCTATTGAATTGAATTTCATCGTTTAAGTGCAAAGAACATGATATTTAATAAATAAAAGTAACACACAAAGCGTTAAAAAAACGATAAATTTTGAAAGCTTTCATTTTTTTTTTTTTTTTTTTAATTAGAATGGAACTGATGATTAGAAAATGTTTATTTAGCTACAATTTTGCAGCAGTTCTTAAATAATTAATACAAGTCAACTCGTGCCTACATCGATTATGATTAAGACTTACAATAAAGGTATAATTCAAATTCAAAATGAATCGTAGTTTCAATTAATTTGTAGTATTATTAGTACGTAATCGATTTTTAATCGTTCTTGATCTAACTATTCGAATTATTTTTTTCTTCAGTTCATTTAGGTGTGAGAACATTATTCTCAAAATAGCAAAGTGATGATTACTGCTATTTTATATATGTACAAAATATCACAGAATACAATCAGAAAAATCTGGAACGAAATAAAATTATGTCATTCCATAGAAAAATGGACTCATAAAAAATACAAAGTTATATTGAACGATCCAATATTAGACAGATTTCTTTGATATCGCAAGTTGCTAACACATGGAAAAAAGCAGAATAGTCAGTAACTTGTCCTATCTAAAACTAACAAAGATGACTAAATACAAGCCATGCTGATACAATCAAATTTAAATCAATCGAGAAGAATCTTTACCTAATCTGGTAAAGATTCTTCTCGATTGATTTAAGTCTGCAAGTGCTTGGCTTAGTCTCTTTTTATATCTACTGATTGGATTAGATGTCACATAACAAAAGGTAAGGAAAATGTTTTCGCCATTTGAAGAATTTCATTCCAGAAACAATATGGATGGTGATGGCCACGAAATATTCAAACGGTAAGCAAATTTCTATATTTACGGCATGCAATTTTTGCTAAAGTTTTCATTTCAGTGTTACGTTCATCTTATTCGTATATACATGTGAATGAGTATAGTAGGCATACATTTAATTATCGATGTGCGGCTCCTAAAATTATGCTAGAAAATATAAATGGTCATGGTCTAGATGTATAAATTTTTTTGGTTTTGTCTACTGTAATTATCTCACAGTAAATATGTTGTTCAGGTGGTAGGAAGTACATAATTTCATTTTTAATTACGGATAAATACTGAGATTTTGGAAAACAAAGTTTTTAAGCGAAAACACAAAATACCAAAATAAAATCTGTAAACCGAATATCAGTATTATTATGCTGTATTTATTAACCACCCAAACATTACATTTTAAGTTTTTCTAACCAAAAGATAACTGACAAAGAGCTTATTTTTTTATCTTAGAATTTTAAATCATACTTAAAGTTTTAGAATTTAAAAATACAAATGCGCGTATAATTCATCACTATCACGAAAAGGATTTACGAAAACTATAAGGTATTTTCTCGCTCCTTAGTGCGCGCCTTCCTGACGTAAATGGATAGCATGTCCGGCTAGCAATCAGGAGGTCTGGTGTTCGAATCCCGGCTCGGGAAAGATTATTGTGGATTATTTTTCCGATTCCTTAGCTTCGAAAAATTCTAAAAGGACTCTACAATTGGCGCCCGATGCAAGAATTCACCACCAGGATTTGGTGATTAGGCCCTTGATCTCCAGTCGCTCTTTAAACGGAGACATCTCCAAAACCAGTTTCTCCCAATAGGGCAGCGAGTTAAAAAATCTGAAGGCTCGGGTGCGAGGCACTTCAACAGGCTCCTATGCTGTGAAAGTCACATCCTGTGTGTAGCGTCGTGTTTAAAAGCCTATCTTTCCTGGCATAACATAGTGGAGTTCATAACTGAGAGAAAAATTTCTCGTGATAAGCGATGAATGAGCCTTACGCAAATACAGATCGAAGAGTCAGTTATTCATGAGCTGGAGATGTCAAGAAGCAATAAATATGGCAATACCGTAGGGAAAAGCATATCTTTGATGTAGCATGCTACTGTCACGGCTTCTGGCGCTCAAATGAAGATAGAACTGCACACATAACGGATAGTCGGCACATGGAACTGACTCCGTTAGCTCAGATAAACCCCAGTCTGAACGGCCCTTAAAAGGGGGTATATAAGGAAATTTCTCCCATGAGAACAATGAGTGATATCGATATCAACAGTTTCATTAACAATGTTCAAGATTTCCTGAAGCACTCCACGAAAACTATCAAGATCAATAATAATCACGGAAAACTTCCCATTCACATCAAGAATCTTATCCAGGAAAGGAACAGGCTAAGGAAATATTTTAACCGGACATGGGTCACGAAATCCGGAATTAACAGAAAAATTAAAACTCTTATTAACGAGCATTAATCATAAATCTCGTAACACATGATGGAAAACCTCAATCTCGAAGAGGGTTCTTTCTGAAACTACATTAGGAAAACCAAAACGCCAGCTCAGTGCCGGATTTACGTATAAGCTGCACAAGCTATAGCTCAGGGACCCCCCCCCCCCAAATTATACCATATCGAAAATTGTTTTACATCCCCCATAAAGGGATATCATATCATATCTCAAAATAGCTTAGCATCTCTTCAAATCTAAATCCAGTCCTGCGCCAGCTAATCAGAAGTGACAACAATATGGCCTGTACTAACTGATGTTTTCGTCGAATATGCCGTTTCAACCTAACGATTTCTCGTACAGCAAGGATACGGATAAAGAAACATTGACTCAGTAAATATTTGACTCAAATCTCCGTACCCCAGAAATATCATCAAATTCACCTTCCTTGCTGAAACAAATCATATCATCAAGACCAGGCCCACATAAAGAATGCTAAAAAAATCTGCCTCAAAATAGTCTTTCTTCAAGCAGCATTTTTGATGCATGTCTACGAAATTCTTATTTTCCAGATGCTTGGAAGCAGGCGTGAATTTTTCTGATTGTAAAGCCTTTCAAACCGCCTGATGAGTTCAGCAACTACAGACCAATTAGTCTCTTACCTAAGCTTGGAAAGCTGCAAGAGAGAATAATTTACAACAGAATATAGCCCTACAAAATATTTCGGATGTACAGTATGAAATTCGAAAGGATTTATCTACCACGAAACATCTTTAAGAATATATGAATACATTGAACCGGTTATTCAAAACAATCTAAGTGTGGCTAGACGGGGGCCAAAGTTTTTGACCGCATGAGGGGCTTAGATAGAAAGTTAATCAAGAGAAATCTCCCTATGAAATCAATTTGTAACTAAACCCTTCCTGGAAAATAGGACTTTTGTGCTCAGGCAAGGCGATAAATTCTCCGCACCGACTCACATTAACGCAGGAATCAATCTTATGCTCGATTCTTTGCATAATTTTCCCAAGTTTAGTAAACATCACAGTATGCTACTTGCATGCTATGCCGACGACACAAAAGTTCTGGCAAAATACAGAAAATCAAATGATGCTATCAAAAGACTACAAAACAAGATACCTGTCATCGAAAACTGATGTAGCAAATGGAAGACCAAAATCAATGCAGAAAAATCTGTACTTCTGAAAGTTCAAGAAACTAGAAAAAAATTCACAAATCATTTCAACCTTTTCGGCTTACAAATTCCTCTGTTCTTCCCAGCGAAATACCTCACAGTCACCCTAAATAGCTCCTTCAACTGGGAAAATCATA